CTGTCCTCATTTTAAGCACATATAGAAAACTTGAAGCCTGGCAGATTCCTATATGGCTGTTCCTGACTTCTTCAAAAGCTACCCTGACAATACAAACTCCCTGTTAATTGGCAGGGAATGAAATCCCACAGGCTCAGCCTCCCACATGTGCATGGCCTGCTGGTGGGACAGCAAAGATCTCCAGGGTGTCTTTGCCCCTTGGGGAAGGTAGGTGGGAAGGGGACATTAAACCTGAGGCATTCCAAGAGAAACTAAGAAGATACAGACATACCTCATGAAAAAATGTTCCTTCTTATTAAACAAAAGACAGCCAGCCGCCCTCTCCCTCATGATAACCAAGAGGAATCCCAAAACATAATCAGTTTAAGCTGAACACCATGTTGCTGACAAGATTAAAATTAGACTCATGAAGTTTCATCAAGGGAAAATTTAACTTTGGCACTCAATCAGGCTGCAGAATCCTCTAATGACAACTGAAATAAAGTAATTCAAGACAGATCCTTAAATGTCACAGGAAAGAAAGCTTGCCCTTGGCTTCATCCCTTGTCAACATTTTATTAAGTATCTCATTTCCCTCTCCTCCTCTACCTGCACTGCTGTCTTGTGGCCATACCCTCCCTGGGCTGAAACTGCAGGTCAGCATTCTACTTGAAACACACAGCACTGGGTTCCCCAGCTTTGTGGCTGTCCCATAAGTCACATCTTATAGGAAACATCTAAGAGGCAAATAGGATGAGAGAGGGTTTGCAAGAGCCTTCCAATATGAAGAGGCTTGTTTGGCTCTTCCAAGAGAGTATAAAACCAAAACAGCTGCTGTTCTCCACATAGCACCTCCACTGAGGTGACTACAGTAAAACTGAGAAACTTTCTGTTGAAAAAAAACATCAGTTCAGAAGACTCTTCTGCTTCCAACATCAACCTCTCTACTTGGAGAGGGATGGCTTATGAGATGCTTCCTTTGCCCTATGTGTGTCCCTGCAAACTAGGCATCACCAGACAGCTCTGCTCCTCAATGATGTGCAAGGTCTCCCAGCAAGAAGTAAAAATAAAATGCAAATATATGTCACTAAATGAGTTTGAAATGGTCTCCCATACTTTTTAACCTTACCCTAAGGAGGCTTCTGCAGGACAGCACTCTTTGACTCACCACTTTCAAATCATCTTACTATCAAAATTCATAGCTCTCCCAATATCCATTTTATGCCTAGTTTTGCCCTAAAAACTTGTGCTTTTAATGCCACTCTCCTCTGAAGTTTCAGCCTTATTTCGTCTGGAAAGGTTTCCTATTTCAATTCTTTAACTGCTACTTTAAGTCCCAAAGATGCAGGAAGCAGCTGGAGTGATGTTGAATAATCAGACAGCATCCTCTTCAGCCTGTTGCAGTGACCAGAGGTACACAATCCAATTACACATCAGACAGAAAAGTCATTATTTGCATAGCCTCTGAGCATGTAGCAAAATCTCAGTAACAGGTAAAATTGCCTTCCTGCTCACACAGGCCTTGATCTAGCTTGGTCCATGAGCACTCACCTAAATTTAGGTGCCTGTTTATCAAACTGAAATCAAGCATCTTTTGCTGCATAGGTAAGTGCTTTGTTAATCAGGGAATTTGCTTAAGCCATGTGGATGTTTAATATTCAAATATAATTATCATCTAGGGAGGGAGCACTAAGCAAGTCTCATCCTGATTTATCCAGCTGCGGGGAAAGCAATGACAGCTCAGCCAGCAGTGTGACAAAAACTCTGTCCTAGGAATGTCTTACAGAGTTTGCAGGAATTTTACCTTTACCTCCCTGTGTGTGCTCTAAAGGAAAAGGCTGTCATACACTTATTATTCCAGACAGCTAAGATATCCCCAGGTCAGTAAGGGCTGGATTTATTATATTTTTAAACTCTGAAGAAGAATGGAGAAAGAAGGGAGTAAAATCTTACACTAATCTTGTTATGCTTCTTAGATGAATGACTTTCACATGACAGTGAAACTAATTCCATTTACTTGTCAGAAGCAGCAACAAAAGAGAGAAGGGGGGGACCTGGCAGTACAAGAGTGTCCTGCTCCCAACATCTTCCTTGCTGGTTATTGCTCAGGATTAGCAACTTGAATCACTATAGAGATGGATGCATCGGAAGCACCTCTGATCACTGAGTCCAGTGTTAACAAGAAGCAACCAAAGAGCATTCAGGGGCATTTCATACCCATGCTCCTCTCTCCATCTTCTCCTGACAGGACTGTGTTTCTTTTCTTCTTTCATCCCTCCCTCTTCTGAGAGCTGGCCAGAGGCTGTGGCATTGCAGCTGGTGGCCTACAGGGTTGCTACGGGGATGCAGGGCTCCCTTGCAGCTCAGCTGTCTGCCAGAGAAGACAGAGATTTGTTTTGGGCACTGGATCCCACCAGGTTTCCAAGCAAGCCTTCGCATTCTCATTGATGTGACACTGACGACAAGCACGCGAGGCGAGAAAAATGTAATTCTGGGTAGGGCATGAAGACACAAGAGGATTTCACAAATGAAGTAATCAGGATCTTGCACTGTCATTTCCCAACCCAAGAGAGTCAGCACCTACCTGCCTCTTGGCGTGAGGATGTTATTTCTTCATGTAAGGTTTAATGAAAGAGTTCTCCATACTGAAAAAAGAACTGCTTCTGAAAAATGTAATAAAAGCTCTGTTTCTCTGACACATAGCTTGCTTTGTAGAGGATTACTTAGAATTGCTGCTCTTGTCCTTACAAGTAGAGCAAGCAGTTGACTTAAGAAGATACTTGATTCAAGTTTTCTGGTAAAAGAATATATTAACTTTCAAAAGCAAAGTCATTTCCAAAACAGGAGCTAAAATTAGACTGATTTTTTTTTTTTTTTTGTTCTCTCTCCCCTTTATGGCTTTTACAAGCAATTACCCACTTAATGTTTTGAAATTATACAAGAAACTTCAATAGCAGTTCTTTTTTCTGCTGCATCTCCTTGAACGTGAAGATTTAAAAGCTTTTCCGGAACACAACAGCATGAGCAAATGAATTTGCCATTTTCATTCTCAATTTCTTTTTTTTTTAACGAATGGGAAGCAGTGGGATATTTCTTCATCATTTAACTTTTGTTTTGTTTTAAATTTCATAATGACAAAGCTAGCCTGCATGACAGCTCTAGAAACCGAAGGCAGGATTCTTCTTTGCACCACAGCCTTTCAGGTTGCTGTGGGAGTTCTGCTAAAATAGCTGGAAGGGCTATTACGCCAACGCATCTCTTGAGCCTCTGCTTTCTTATGGCAGGGTGGTGGATACAAATTTAGCATTCCTGCTCATGTGACCATCCCACACTGTGCATAACCCATACAAAGAGCCAGGCCATGTGGGGAGCTGGGGATCCTGCAAAGCAGGGCTGCAGGAAGCACTGAGACAGAGCCAGGCAGCAGTGCTGTGCTATCCATCCTGACCTGGAGCCCCCTGGTCAGGCTGCACCCCCAGCCATTCATGCTCAAGAGCCCCAGGCTGCCTGAGTGGTGCTGATGTACCTCAGTGTCATGTGGATGGGCACGAACAGTTGGTAAAATCAGAGGGCTGGATTGCCAGCTCTCCTCCCACACTTCCCCTGGGCTCTTGGGGTAGAAGTAGGTGCACTCACCTTAGTGGAGGAGGCAAGTCTAACCTTTATCTCCTGCTCAAGTTGTCCCCTGGAGGAGGGGTTTTGTTTGCTCCTCTCACTGTCATGCAGATGCCTGCTTGCTAAGACCACAGCATTGGAGTGCCACTGAGCTTGGCAGTGTGTTTGGCTCTTACAGCTTAGGAGTGAAAGGTGTTTTCTCCACCAGCAAAGCAATACCCATCTGAAGCACCAAGTCTGAAATCTCTAAGTAAAAAGCAAATCCAGCTGGGTCAGGGAAATCAAAACAACTCAGGCTCTCCAGGCTGCTCCAAGTTTTATCTGCATGAAGGCAAGAGGCAGCATCAGCGTCTTGTAAAGAAATATGTTCCTACCTCTATCCCTTGCCCTTGGGACTCCTTAAAAATACCCTGTGGCAGGCAATGTCTTCGTTTCCACTATTTCCTGACCATGACTACCTTTACTGTAGTCTGACAAAGCTCTGGAGCACAAACCATCTCAAACTCACACAACTCATGTTGTACATCTCTGTTCTCATTAAGACCGAACCTTTTCTCAGGCCACACTTCACCATAACTTCTCCCTGCAGAGCTGAACTCAGTCTCTTATTAACTTACTTGGTCATCCATTACCACCAAAACCAACTTAATACCTTCTGTTACATTAAGGCATTCATAAAATACTGCAAGCACAGCTTCAGGAAGGCACCTTTCTTAGGACTTTGATGCTGGCATTCATACAATGGTGTGAGGCAGGCAGGATGTTTTCCCCAGAGCCATCTGGATGGAGCAAAGGTCACCTTAGTTGAGAACTTCTGACTGTCAGAACTGGAACCACCTTCTGGGGTTCTCACTAGCATGAGCTCTGATAAAACCCCTTCACTGTCTTTTTCAGCTGGGTCTGAGCAGGAGAGAAACTTGCACTGATAAGCATCTGTCTTCAGCATGTGCAGTGGGAGGGAAAGAGCTGGCAGGTTCCTCTAGACTCAGACTTTTGCAGTTGAACTCAGTGAAATACCTAGAAACACATGAGGATGAAAGAAATCCATTCTGCAAACCTTCTTAATACCAATCTGCTGCAGCCATAAACATTCTCAATGGAGAAAATGGAAATACAGGAAAACAGTTGCACCAGCAAACACAGGAAAGGCAGCAGCCTTGAACTGACCGTGAGCACATCAGTATGCTGGGATTTTGGATTTCACAAGGGCCCTTCTCACAGGAAGGCTCATGTAACCATGGCAATGGAGATGTCTGGATGCATTTCATCCTTTTGTTACCACTAGCAAACAAATAAGTTAAATCAGAGGCAGATAAGAAAGGTCTTCCCATTCCTCTCTTTACCAAATAGTTCAGGATTGCTAGGAATCATAAGGAATAAAAGAGAAGTTCAGAAGAAAAACAAAGTTCCAAGAATCATCACAACTCAGATTTTTATTCAACAGTGAAGTTGAAGGGAATGATGGTTTTTCCCTTCAGGGCAAATGTTCCTAATGGAAATTAAGTAAAAATATTGTTCCCCAAAAGTACTCACAATGAAATTAGTTTTCATTAAATATATTTGTTTGGCAAAATAAAATAAAAAAATTAGAACCCGTACAAAAAAAATCCCTTGCAAATTTCTAACACTGTAGCAATGACAACGATGTAAACCTGGATGTTTGGCAGTTGTAATTAATTTGTGAAAATTACTGTCGTACTTTGGACCAAGGAAATAAAAATCACTTCAAATAGCAACAAGCCAATTTCAGAGGCAACTGAGGCTTAGGGAATGCTACAGGAAATGGGACACACTAGTGGCTTCGTATACGGTTTGTGCGAGTGATCTGCTAGTGTGGGGCTATTGTAAGAGCTGGGAGGAAAAGAAGTTAAAAGCTGTTGCAGCATTGCAGCGTATGGTACAGCAAAAACCTGCAGACTTTCCATTCTGGGAGCCGATCAGTTGGGTGAAGGCTGGAGGCAGGAGTTGAGATGACGGTGGAGAGAATAATGACAGTGACGGATGGTGCAAGCACTGGGAAGCAGTTAACGAATTTCATCATCTCATTGGATTCGGTGGTGAGCAGGCTCTTGTGAGTGTCTGGGGAAATCTTCTGCTTACAGTAGCTGCTTCTGCTCCCTACCTCCCTCCTCCTTCCAGTTAAAGCCTCTGCCCTGCCAGGTGGGTTTCACAGGCATGCAGTTTGATAACAACGTCCTTTAGTTAAGAATGTCTATTCCAGTATTAAAAATGTAAAAAAAGTCCTCAGGAGGGTGCTTCTTAGTGGCAGTCTTTGCCTTAAGCAAGGCCAATGGCCCGCAATTACAAGTTAATTAAAGCAATGTGGATTTGGATGAGCAATGGGGAAGATGGGAAGGAATGGGGAAGGAAGGGATGCAGGGAACAGGGAGGAATGCAAGTGTTTCTACATCCCTCCCCAAAGCCAAAATCCAAGGTGCAAAAGTGGGTTTCTTTTTTCCCTCACACTCTTTTTTTTTTTTTTTTTTTTTTTTTTTTTTTTTAATATCTCTCCAGTTATAATGTATTTCCAGTTTCAGAGCAAGTTTCAGTGACTGCCTCAGTTACAGTCATAAACAAAGTCGTAGTTGCTGGGCTCCTTTGGGATAGGTGGGGGAGCATCTGGGATCTGTATATTTTCCAAGTCAAGGAGGCGTAGCTTTATCTCCATGCTGAGCAGCGTGTCTAGGTCGTTCCGCGTTAGGTCACTCAACATATCCTTCCCAAGGAGGGCGTTCAAACCATCGGTCCATACACAGTACTGCACAGGAAAAGGATAAAAACTGCCATTAATAGACTTTCCATACACAAACTCCTTCTCTGGTCTGGTCCTCTACAGTTACTGCTCCCATGGGGACTTATAAAGAGACATAAAATTAGGTTGATGCATTTTTTCAGCTCATATCATGAAGAAGGCTTTCACTGAGCTGCTCAGAAAATGGAAAAAAAAAATCCATAAAATGGGAAGAAATTACATTATTTACTTTGACAATTTGAAATCTCCTCCAAACTTCTTATTGAATGTTCTTCTGCAATTATTGGAGAAGGAAACAATAACTTAGGACAATAATCCTCTGGAGAAATCTCCTTCACTCCTCTCACTCTCCTTCCCCAGTGCCTATTAAAAAATCCTGATTATCTTACACTAACTAGACTTTTACTTCCAAGACAGTTAAATTAGGTGAACTAAATCCCAACCCCAAATCCTTCTTGACTCTTAGTATAAAAAATCCTGTACTGTTTTTATCATTGTTTGGTTTCCTATGCATGAAGTTGTTACAATTGATAGTCTTACTATCTATGCCTACTTTACCACTATTTTACACAAAATATTGTGAAAACTACATAGTTAATGCTATGTCCTTCATGAAAATTAAATGCCAAGCTGCTTGGTTGTAATACTAAATGCTGCAAATGCTGAACTGGCCTCTAAAACCTTTTCCTTACTGTTCGCTTTTTCCTAACAGGAGATGCCATCTTTCTCAACAGCTGACAGCTTGTGATAAACGTGGGCTGAATAACCATTTAAAATCAGCAACAAATTCAAGGGAGATTGGTGATCTAGAGTCAACTTCTATTGAATAAGTCACTTTCATTTATTACTACAAGCCATTTATTCAACTATGAACAAAAGTACTCAAATGCTGTCATCTAAAAATAAAGATTTCAATCATGAACTTGTGTCCTAGTTTGCGGGAGAAAAATTAAATCAACCGTAACTGCATTTTTATCTTACAAATACTTCTGCTGGATTTCATGCCAAAAAAATGGTTTTTAAATTTAGCTGACCATTTGCTTCACGATGCCGCCGAGTTTAAAGATAGCCATGGTTGACTTCATCCCACAGCAGAAATGAGGATTATTTTTAAGGAAGAGAGAGAAGCCCCCTTCTTCATCCAGAAAAAGGGCATATTTCAAAAATAGAATGGGTTAGCACACTTCAGCATCTGAAGTGAAATCCAACCCACTTAAACCAGTAACAAAACAGTAGCAGAGAGAGCTTTTTCACCCAGGGTGTAGGCAAGCCAGGCCACAGCTTTAATATGAGATAGCTAAACAGAAGAGGCTTTAGAGTTCAGGTTGTCCTGCTGACAAGTACTAAATAAACAACTTAGCCTGCCTATTCTAGGCTGTCAAAGTGCGCCGCTGAAGACTTTTAAGGCATGCAATTTTTTTGGAGTGTATGCAGAATATCAGGAAAAGAAAGAAGATATTCTAGAAAAATAATTATATTTGAACGGACTGTAATCTTTTATGATTTACTTGAAATCTTTCTTTGGGAGAGTTTTCCCTGAATTCATTACAAAGAAAGGAGCAGAAAAGCAAAAGGGTCTGCTCAGGTTACAGAAGATCAGAGAATCTTTTCAACAGATGCAGCCCCTGACATAAATCGTGCATCACCTGCGCAGTGAGTGCGGCCAGCTCTTCCTCTGGGGAGGAATCCCAGAGAGCCAGAAAGCAGAACTGCAATTCTCTCCTCTTCCAGATCTAACTCATTCAGGGCCCACAGAAACCAAATTCTGGCCACAATTCTGATGAGTGCAATGGCCTGGAAAAGGGGCTTCCTCTCTAATCTCCATATTGGCAAATGCACCTAATTAAACTCCTGCACATGTTGAGCAGAGAGACATCCTAATGAGATGGTGGAAAAACAGAGGCATTCATTCAGAAGCTTTTTTTCTTTTTTAATATGCAAAAGAGACTAAGAGCCACTGAAAAATTAATTTATGAGATTCATTTTCATAAAACTCCAATGAAACCTAATTATGGCCTCTCTCATCAGTTTCTCTGTCAAAAATCATGGATAAGATTAATCCACCTTTTTTGCTGTGTAGTTGAAACCAGTTATTAGTATTTAAATGAAAAACAAATACAATGGAGTGATCTCATAGTACTGAATCCCCTGGCTAGCAGTAAGCTCTAACAGATGGCTAAGGGAATTGACAAACTTAAGTGTGCTAGAATGGGGTCCAAATCTCAATGATTCTGGTTCAGTAATGAGATTTTATCAAAGAATTACCTTGGGAGATAAGAACTGAAAATGTTTCACTGGCTTCATCCATTTGGATGCAGCCCCTGAGCAACCTGGTCCAAGCTCATTGCTGACCTGCTTTGAGCAGGAGGTTGGACTCGGGACACCTCCAAGGTTCCTTGCAGCCAGAATTATCCTATGAGCCTTGTTCAGTTTTTCTTTTTAGGACACACTCAACTCCCACATTTCAACCTCACTCTACAATCACGAGGGCTGCACAAGTACTTAAAAAAAGCCCTGCAAGTCTGACCTGAAATTGTCATGTACTGACATCATTCCTGGTGCTTCACACAAAGCTTTCAGAATTTTGAGATGTCACCACCAAATCTCCCAAACCGACAATGCTGCTGAACTAGCACTTCTATCAAAAGGCACCCCAACTACTTTGTTGAAGAGTCACGGGCTTCACAACATGCTACTCGCCTTTCCATGGGGGTGCTTCTTCTGAGCACTTGTACTTTCTACTTTAATCACAACTCAGTCTTCTGCAGGCCATGGAAAAATACAGAGGAAATGAGATGTCCTTTTAAAAACCTTCATTTGAGAACTGTCAAGTGGCAGCAGAGACTGTTGCCTCCGGCCACTTTTTTGAACATATTAATTTTGTTTCAAAGAAGCTGCACAATACCAAAAAGAGAAATGAAGATAAAAGGTGTGTTAACGCAATCATGAGCAATTCGGTTAGTGCATCTCACTGTTACTGCCTGTCAGTGGGATGCAGTAGCAGCTTTTGAACATTCGGACCATTAAAATGCACTTATAGCTATAGGCTATACTTGAGATACAGTGGCTGAAAAAATTGTTGGTTTTCATGACCATTTGCACTTCTGAGCTGAAACAGTCTAGAATTCGGTTTCTGGAGAGTTTATATCAGAAATCACTGAACCTATGTTCAGTTCAGAGGATGAAGACAACCATGTGCTGCTTAGAACTACAGCTCTAGTGGCACATTGTGCCTGGGATGCTGCTGGTCCTTTCTCTTATTCAAAAACTGGCCCACAAATACTTCTCTGGAATGAACATTCTTGAAAATGACACTAGTATTAATCCACGGAAAGACCCAATGGCATAACTGTATCTCCTCTCCTAAAATTAACATTTAGTTGAAGGTTTTAGTCCAGAACAACAAATGTTGAAGTAGCATAACTAATACACTTCACTTGTATTTCATGCACTTCATGTACTTTCATGTACTTCACAATTTCATGCACTTTTTAAATGCTACAGTATAATGCAGTTTGAATCTTCTGTAGTTCATCATTTTAGCAGTGTCCTGAACTGAGACCAAATGTGATACCTAAAAAAAGTGTGCAAATGGAACACAACTCTTCTTGCTTTAGAAACAAGAAGGACTTTTTAAAATGCAGTGTATTCTGCTAAATCTTTACTTGAAATTTTTTTGAGAAAAACACATCCAATGATTCAACAAAATTAATGTAAATTGATCCCATCACATTCCAGAAGGTGCTGATGTCTTCTATTTCCTTGTGGCTTTTACTAAGAGAAGGGAGCAGGGAAGGGGCTATAATTCATCTTTGCTGTGGGTATTTACACTGTCTTTGCACAGGCAAAAGGCACTGCAAAACACTCTCCTGTGGAGATGGAATAGAAGGAGCCTTCTATGATCACCTGTCATGACTGGTCTTAAGCAATGTGAAAGTAAGAACAAGTGGATATGCCATTCTGGAGAGCACTAGTCTTTGTCCAAAACTGAGACCCAGTGATGGTATAACTACCCCTGATTATGCTAGCATTGTCAAAATGAACTGAGGCTGGCAGCGACTCTTTTAAAGCTTGGCTGTACAAATTCTCACTGTTGAAAGTTCACACAGCAAAATTCTCTAGTGTCTAAAGTACAGCAGACCACAAGCAATCAGAAATGGTGAGAGAGATCTGCAGAACTTCAAGGTCTGGCCAAGCTCTCTTCTCTTTCTTATGGCTTATAATTCAGGACAGCTTCGAAATACTGGTCTGTAATTTGGAGCTTCATGTGCTCTGTGATGCAGGAATACAAAACATGTTTCTTCTGTGGCTCAGATACGCAAGAAAATTACAGAAGGTCTTGTTCCTATACTAATCCCTTGAATGTCAGTTTGAGACATGATGCTGATTTAGATGGACCTACACCCTGGGCCATGGTGCCCGTTCTTATGTTCTTACAAAGCCATCTGGTGCCTTAAAGCAACTAAGATAACTTCAAATAAATTTCTGTACTCTGAACATGACTTACCTCATGCTTGTCTGGAGCAATGAAATTCAACTGGCCGCTTGAGTCATACAATATCGAGAAAGCAAGCTCTAGCACCTCCTGGAACAATACAAAGAAACACCTATTAATGCTGCATAAGAGAGGCATTAATATATTCTGATCTGTCTTTCTTTCTCATCCACTATTCCCCAAAACAAATTGAAAAGTAGTTGATGGTAGTCTCCTGTCTGGCCAAAGCTGCAACAGTACTAGCCCACTGCAAGAGACTGGCACAGCAAGAACACCAGCACAGTTGTTCAGTCAAAACAAACTCACCCAACTCAGTGCTTACTGTGGCCCACTGGGTCATGAATTACTTTAGCATTCGAGTTTAAATTTGAGATAGGCAATGGTGAGGACTGAAATCCTCACCATTATTAATATAATGAATAATAGTACACTTGATAGAAGCTCTTTATGAAGACTCACAGTTTTTTTCAATTTGTATAGATTAAACTCACAAAGTTCTGCAAAGACTCCTTGTGTTAAAAATCTTGTCAGGACAATTAATATCCTGGTATATACTTATGTTTTATTCAGTGCTGGAAATATATTAAGTTATTCACTCTCAGGAGATTTCTGTAATTTTGTTTTCATCTGAACCAGAATCACCAGCCTCAGTCAAGCCAAACTATGCTGCTTACTTGAAGACCCAAAGGAATTTTGGAAAAGGAAAGAGCAATCATCTTTTTTTCCCCAAATCACTGAAGCTGGAACTGTAAAAGGTACCTAGGAGAATACATAAAATGCTGACCTTCCCTAAAAGTCACCTGGACCTGAATTCCCATGGAAAAACCCAGGCAATCTGAATAAATAATGATCTTTCAGTGGCCAGCAGTGATCATGTAAAGATGTTGTCTTATCTGTTGCCATATTATGGTTTCTGCCTGCATCACTACAAGTGCCATTACAAGGATCTCACAATCTGTAAGCTCGGTGGTATGGATATATTAACTATGGAAAAGGGACCGAGCTACATAGCAGAATGCTGACTTGTAACTATGATCTGTATCACATGTCCTGTTATTTGTGCCTTGTGGCTTCCTCAGCCCCGTCATACTCACAGCTTTTGTTGACTCTCAGCTGACAGCAGTCCCTGCACTGCCAGAGGTGAAAGAACAATTTCCTAAATTTGCAACACCAAGTTTTAAAATGGAAGAATTAACTGTGGGGACTGCCGCATAAACATTGTTCCAAATTTCTACCCCCAAACTCCTGGTCTGAGACAGACATAGATATTTGGATTTCTGTAAAGGCTTTTTTGGTTTTGAAGTTGTATGATTAAGGGCAGAGTCTGAACCATAAAACTTCCAATCCTTAGGGATAATCTTGGATAATAAGATATCAGGCTTCTCATGGGAAATGTTCTTGTTTTCCTTGAGTTTAGTTACTAGGTTCAACTTGATGTATTGCCAAGGCTACAGGAGACAAAGCTGTGTTAGATCCTCGTTGTGTTAAATCTCCATGGAGGCTGCAAGTGCAAACAGTGCTGGTGCACTCAGCAAACCAGTGCTCAGGGCTCACATGGCCTTTCTTTGTTGTAGGCATGTCTCTCAGCCACACCTTATTAAGAGTGATGTCCCTCATTACAGAAACAAATCTGCCTCTGCCCACATGAACCTGGCATTATCTCCTCAAACAGTGTTAAAAATTACTGACAGAATATGCCAAGAAATGCCACTGAGATTGTAGCTCTGGAAAAAGCTCTTGTACTCTTATTCTGTGATGTTCCTGAATCTCATGAAGGTCAACAATCCCACAGGCCTGACCCCTTTAATTTTTCCTTTGGGAAACTCCAACGAACATAACTTCTTCACCTCAAAGAGAGAAAAAGGAGGGAAAAGAAGAAGGGAAGAGGAATGTGTGAGGATGTCTAGAGTTTGGTCATTCCCAGTCAGCCAGAGAATGAGAAAGAACTACATTAAGGGCACCAAGCTTCTCTTTCTGGGGTAAAGTGTTACTTTGGCAGACCTGGATATAGCTTAGCTTCTTTGCTGGCTGCCCTGGACTGTAAAGGCTTGGGAATTGCAACTTCCAGGTGCCAGCATCTCTGCTGCTTTATGCACAGCAAACTGTCAAGGAAAATGGAAGCCAAAGGAGCTGGAGTTGCCATCTGGCCTTCCACACTGACTGTGGTCTCAGTAGTTGAGCTGGCTGACTTGTCAAGGACCCCCACCTGGTTTTGTTGCAGTCCCATCAGTGACAAGGAGGAGCTGGCAATTCTTAAAGGAGAACTAGTCAGTCTTTATTGCTGTCTGTAGTTTTCTCTGTTCTACTTCTCAAACTTTCTCACAGTAACTTTTCATTCAAGCCTTTTCCACTTGTTTCTCTATCCTTCTGGTCTTTTTTATCTCACATTCCCTCCAACCTGCTCCTTCCTTTTTTTGTTTTGCTTTCCTTCTCCTGCACCTCAAGCTGCTGAACCCACTCCCTTGGCACTCCTAGCTCCTTCCACGTGTCAGACCTCTGCCCTTCCCCAGACCTTGCTCAAAGGTAACAGCATTGGGACCCACAGTGTGCCTCTCTTCTGAGCTGTGCTGAAAACAGAACAAGACTCTGCAACAGCAGGCCAATCCTTCCCACTCCTGGGATTCAGCTCTCTGGGGGAAGCTGTTGTAGGTGGCATGAAGGGAAGGTTGCTCTGCCATGCCCAGAGCTGCCCTCTCCCCCAGCCTCTATGAGTCCCCAGCACGGGTCAGAAGCCATGAACTGGCATTTGGGGTGCCTATGGAAAGTGATCCCATGCAGCTGGAATGACCTCACCACTTTCTGCCGGCTCTGTCTTCAACACCCTCAAAACACCCATGTCTTTACTGAAGGCTGAGGCCTTGCCATGTTGAGTTTGCTTGCCAGAGTCAGAAGATCTGCCCCAAAGAACTATCTAGACAGGCAGCAGCAGGGAACTTGTTCAACAATGGGAGAGGGAGAGGGAGAGGGGAGAGAGAAAAGAGATGCTTCATTCATCAGGGATGTGAGCAGAACCATTTCAGCTGACTAAAAAGGCACAAAGCCTGAAACCTCCCACATCAGCAGATAAAGGGTGTTAAGAGAGCACTTCAAAATATCTGGCCCTGTTTTTTCTCTAATTCTTCTGTCATGCTTTATTTTGAAGGCTGCAAAATCTGACATTTCATTTCCTTGAAAATCATTGGTACTACATGGGAGTCAGAAATAAGGATTTAGAAATTAAACCTAATTTAAAAATACAAGCAAGATGAACAATAATGGATTCAGATCTGGTCCCACAACATTGTTCCAGTTTCATATGCATGCAAATTTCAATTCAGTTTAACTCTTATTTCTTTTTAAATTATCCTGCTGAAAGAACAATGGCCATGTGGAAACCTTGTTATGGACATTTTGCCAATTCCAGCTATGCTCATTCTGCCATTCAATTTTCTTTTCTGCCAGTGAATAAAATTGAGGTGGACATTATATATGTACAAAGAAAGCACAGAATGAAAAGGCCTCTTAAAAATATATCACTGATTGTGAAATTTCAGAAAGTGAAAGGTTTACAATACAGCAAATTCAGCTAAATTGCATTCTTCATCTACCTTTTTATAAATTTTAGTTGCATAACCCATATATAACTTGATATGCTGCAAACAACATGTTATTCCCATGTCAGTTAAATAGTTGCAATAGTGTACCTGACAGTTTGATTGGGATGACAGGCTAATTCAAAAATTCTGTGCTTCTCAGGGAAAGAAACGAGGAATTGAGGAAATAAAAAAACACAAACCCACCAAACCAAAAACCCCAAACCCCATCAAAACCCCTGCACCACATCAGAAGCAGTAAAACCATCAAAATTGCCATGTCTGGGTCACAAATAAAACACTCAAGACAAGGATGCAGCCATGCTACCTATGAATTCCTGATCTTCACATTCTCAGCCAGAAATTTTATACCAGTCCAAAACAATTTTACCTAAGGAAATGGGGCAACGCTGAGAGCTGAGGACAAACTGATCTGCATCATTCCTCTTTAGCATTAAATACTATCTAGACATTACTGCTCCGTAACGATGACACATTTCCATCACTGCCACCCACTGCTTTCCATCTTTCCCTTTTGTGCGGACATATGAGTGCTAAGACAAGGAAGAACTAAAAATATTTCATATGCATCATATAAATGTCCCAGCCAAACGTTGACGGTGTTGACGGTTCAGCTGTAACATGACGTAGGAGTTGTATGTAATCTATTGTACTCCTGTGCTTGTGCCCTGATTCAGAAAATCAACAAGGAAAAACACTCCTTCCCTCACTTGACATGACTTTTTCCTTTCCTACTGTGTAAAGCCAATGCTGAAACTTCTCTGTAAGAAAACAAATGCAAAAAATACTCAGGATGCTTTGCCTATTTGTGCACCATTAAGGAAAGAGAAGTTGCAGCTGTGAAGGTTGTTGATGTAGCTTTGACAGTGCCTTCTCAATTTTTATGGCTTCCATTAGAACTGCTTTTTCCAATTTTGCCTAAAGTGTTGAAGCAGGAACACTTCACTATTTTGCCCATCAAAATCTCCTTATGGTCTGACCCAAAATTCCTCAGTTTCAGGTAATAAGAAATTCTGATTCAAAACCTTTGATCTGGCTCCCAGGCCTCTCTCAGTGTTGTTCTAGGTCAGACTGAAATCATTAGAGTCTCATTGCTTCTTGTAAGGTGAGACACAACCTGATAGAAAATTTATTAACATACCTTATTGAATATGGCATTCACCACTAATGATGCCAGATGTTGCTAGTAACTCTGTTTCTTCTTGATGTGGTGACAATTCTTACTAACAAAAACTCTTTACACTCTGCACAATTTTAGTATTACTGTCAGCTTACAGCTCTTGCTATGAAACTCTGAAAGGTAGTATAAATCTAATTTAAGCTGAATATTGTCTCCTACACATTTTTTTCCCAAATTAACTGCTGAGCACATCTTTATACACCTCCTTAATTGCCCAGGATGTACCTTACAGCCTTTTGTTGGCAATTGTTTTTCTACCTGACTGGACCTGCAGGTATCATCAGCTGGACATTAACTGCAATTTTGGCATATGTTTCCTGAATGTGGGTTCATCAGAGAACACAGCTGGAACAAATCAGTTATTTATCAGAGACAATTCAGGAGTAGGCACCAACAGCCATTGCAGCTTTGCTTTAGTGATAGAAAACATCACTACTAAGGACTATTCCAGTTGTGCCCTGGGTGTATCACCATGTACATCTGCCAGGAAATACGAGTAAAGAAAGCTAAACTGTCCAAACAACTTAACTCAAATGGTCTGAGATGGAAACAAAGAGTGTACATACATAGAAATGTTGCAGCTGGAATGAAAAATACCTGTGTTACTTCAGGGAAGGTCAAGTTGACAAGCTTAGTATTCTGCACAGTATGTGTTAATAACAATTTGAGAGCCATACCTTGTTTTGTTTAAGAGCTCCTTTCTCTTTCATGTGTGGGCAGTCCTTCCCAGTCACAACAGCTTTTATATCTGCCACTGGCACTAAGAAGGAAAATCAAACCCCAGAAAATTAGTTAGAAGCAAGGTATGTAAAACTACAGAGTCTGAAAAGACCCAAGACTAATGTGTTAAAATTGCCATGTCCTTTGCCATTTCCAGCCTTTTGTAAGAAAGAAAACTGGAAGAAAACAACTAACACAGGAACCAATGAGTCTTGACAAAATTTCAGGCGCCTGGAAAAAAGTCTGAAAATGCTTTTTCTTACCTATTTAGACTACCTTGGCTAAGAGTGTTTCATATAAATGTGTACCTGTGTCTGGACAGTATGTGTACTCATGGATCTCAAAATCATATAGTTTTCTTCCTTGTTAATGTTGCTCTTTTCCTAGGCATCCAGGTAAAGTTCTCTGCTGGAGAGAGGATGCTGGGAAAGTTGGACCCCTCACTCAGCGCTGTCTTCCTTCTTTTAAAAGCCTGTAGGAATTTTTTAAAAATAGTTTTCTATTTCACTCCCATCAGCAGTTTAGTTGCTTTCTGGTACTAGCAGGAATAAGGAATACTAAGGCTTATAATGAGTCATTCCAATTGCTTTAAAATGTGAAGTGATCAGAAATGACTGGGGGGAAAAGAAAGGTAAGAAGAAGTATTGGAATCTTCTGCCACTCAGAGTCACAGAGTGAGGTCACTAAAGCATAAAGATAAATTTCTCTGAGATTCAAGCGGAAGTCAATTTTCCAAAGGTAATTACATTATGGAGAATCTATATGCTCTACAATACAATATGGTCCCTGAGTGACAGTTTCTACAATCTATAAATAATCCATTATCCTTGTGGCTGCAGAAAAGTATCTTATATATAGAACAGGACAGTAATATGAAAACCTGTTACTGCCAAGTTCTTTAAAAACTAATGGAAATAGTGAAGGGGAGAAATGCATTTACCCTTCTACTGGGCACAGCAGCACTATATATTTTATGACAGATTACCTCAGCACTACAGCCAAATGGTTGGTATGGGATGTAAAAGACATTCTTAAAGTATTTGCTTTGCATGGAAGACTGAAAAGAAAGGAAATAATTTGACTCTTCACTACTCAACTTCTGCCTTTAGTCTCAGAATTTTATGCTGTGGGCCTGCTGACTCTTTATGCCTCTGACAGTCCTGTTTCGAAGGAGACATACTGTTTTTCAGAGGAGAGAATGAGCTAGGAAAAACTGGGAAATGAAGGAGATGTTTAACTGCAACTATGGTAGAAAGGTGTTCTTAAGAAAAAAGAGTTCCTTGAACTCTTGAAGAGTTTTTTGAAGGGGCCTAGAAAAAACAATTTCTCTGTTTGCATAAGATAAGGTTTTCTGAGGTCAGATCTCTCAACTGAGAAGGTTTTTCTTCAGGTTTCATACACTTGATCTGTGTGATCTGGAATGCAGTTATAGTGAGAGATCACAGACTGATGTGACATCCTAATCTTTATTTATTTGGAACTTGGCTTATGCCTTGCTTTAGAAAAATAGAATCAAAGACTTCAAGAGGTATCAGAAGTTGACTACAAGATGCTGGAGGTCGTGAGCACAGTTGTGATGTGCACACACAAGGATAACGCCTTGAGAAAGAGGGCAGCTCTTTTCTGTCCCAGCTGGAGTCTTCATGGCTGGTTAACTCTGCCAGCCTGAAGAGAGGGGTGACATTCACAGAAGTGAAAAGGTTAAAAACCCACACATTTATGTTTGAGGATAGAGACTAATTATTCAGGCTTGGCAAGGAGTGCACTAAATGCTTGATGCTGATTCTCTTAATTCTGTTTTCTTACCCACCTATTCTCTTTTATTTTTTTTTACCTGAGTTGAAATGCTGAGAAGTTGATCATCCTATTCAATACTTAAGAATTCAAAAATCAATAATCTGTCCAGAGAAAACCAGGATATTTATGAAAATTATTCTGTAAAATGCCCAAGCCAATTTGGTCTGATATGTTTCCAACAATAGTGCCACTTTATAATCTTGTGACTTGCAATATTCTCAATTTTGTTTAGTGAAAATCCATCTGTGGATGGATGTGGGTAGCACTATGGTAAATCTTGTATCATTCATAGCCTCAAAACCCGAGATACTGATGAAATAACTACCTCTTTCTGAAACTGCATTGGTATCTGCTCTGCCAGCAGCCATGCTAAGGGAACCCTGTTGGTCTGGCCCAATGGTTTCTAAAGCAGGAGCCTTCTGCCCCTGTGGGGTCCTGACATTCCTGAGTAGGCTCAAGAACCTATGGAAAATGCAAGTGCCAGATGAAGCTCACAGCCAGGGTCAGGGGTTTGTGCATGGAAGCGTGCTCCAAGCAAATAAATCTGGGAACTGCTGGTCTTGTAACTGTGCCTGCAGTTCAAGTGTGACTTTCATTCTTCTGTCACTCTGACACTACTGTAACATTCTATGGCTATTTCTCTAAGCCTTGTCCACAAGAACAGCCTCTTTCTGTGCCAATGCAGCAATGTGAAGCCCTGTCCTACATTCTGCCAAGACTGCAGTGAGACTGTGGAACATCCTTGAGGCAATCTGTAAAGCAAGGAAAACAAGAGTATGTGACTGCAAACTGTCAGGGCTCCAGCATCACACAGGCTTTTCTTCTCCTTTCCCTCTCAGACTGCATTTGGGAGCACCTGGACAGTTTAAAAGGTGCTGCCTGGAGACAGGTTAGGAGAGGAAATTTCACATCATTCCCCAGTTTTCAGGCTGGAAAAATTCCCAATTTCTGAAAAATCAGTCTTTCTGCCATTCCATGAAAGAAGTGAAACTACCAACTGAAATACCCGTTTAAGTGTGTCTAATTTGATAATGCCAAGGATTTTCAGTAAAGAACAAAAAGAAATTATTTCTTATTCAATGCTGGATTTCTTGAAGTCACTTACCAGTGACAGAACTATGCTCATTATTTCCACTATCATAAAAAGGCTTCCCTGGATTACAGGTTAAGCCCCTACAGGTTGAAGTACAAAGGAGAAATCACTAGAGTATGATGGTTCTGAAGCTCCAAAATTACTTTTAACCATGAGAAAAATCCCAATAAATCCCTTGGTAGGAGCTGCCACACAGACATGTCCTCTCCCAGTTGGCTTCACAGAAACACTGAGGTCCTCTCAATACTGTTCACAGTGACCTGTCACCTTTGAGTCCACTCCTCACAATAACAAAAAGGACCTCTGCCACATGTTCCTCCTCCAGTCACTAGAGACTGCCTGTTTCCATGGACAGGCAGTGCTTCTGAAAATCCCCAATTATTTTTATTTGGCATCAGCAGTTAGATGAGCAATGAAAATAAACTGCTTTCCTCCCTAGGAAAGACATGACGTTTCCAAGATGAATGAAATTATAAACTCATTGAAACGCTTAACGCAGTCCCCACACACACTTGCCAAACCCAGGAGAGTGGTGTTTGAATGCAGGAGGAAATGTCCCCTGCTCTTTATCTTCATAAACAGAGCTGTTCATAATGTCCCATGTGAAGAGAAACCTACTACGAGTTATAAAGAAAAACTAGCATAAAACAAGCAGAAGTGTCAGAATCTTTGCGCATGACTTACATTTATCTTGCAAGGAATCATGAGGGACTTCTCCCTGTGGACTTTCTTCCAAGTCTCCGTAGTGCAAGACCTTGTGATTAGGTGAAAGTCGACAATACCAAAATTTGTCTGTTGAAATAAACACATTAAGCAAGGTCACTGACATGTCTTCATTAGCCTTACCAACAGCAGAGGAGAAAGCCTACTCAAGCAACACGCTACAGGGAAAGATGTCTTTCCTTTCAGAAGAAACCTGTGGGGTATATATAAGAAGGGTAGGGACTTTGCTCAGTAATTTTTCTTGATTAAATGAAGCTAGCATTAATTTACAGGGGTTTTGTTATTGACATAGTCACTTGCTCAAAAAACCAAAATACTAGTGAGAAAAAATGCACTTACCAATTTTACCAGATATTATAAACTCTCATGGCCAGAAGACTGGCAAAGTAACTCCTGTGAGTGGATAACTTTAATTTACTCATAAAAGATTCATTTTTAGCACCCACTATGTGAAAATCAAGCCCTACCAGCTGTCTTGTGTGGGACACCCAAAAACTGATAAATTTGAAATATCCCATACTTTATGAAAATTATGACTCATGTCTTTTTTTATAGACATAGGAGAACACCCCCATATTTGTGGAGAGACTGGACCTAATAAACATGCAGGAACTTAAAAAGCAGACATTAAGTCTCTTGTCCTGCAGATAACTGAGTGCTTTGCATGGTCACAAATATATGTGTGACCGTGCAGTTCACACCCCGGTTTGCATTTTTGTCCTTCCTAAGAGATGTACATTTACATCTCCTGACAACTTGTGCTTTGCAGGACACAGTTCCCCCTAACAACACTGGTTAAAATCTGCTCCTGAGAAGAACATCACCTTTGCAGAGTCAGGCCACCACGCTGCCTAACGTGCAAGGACGGTGCTTGCCAATTCCCTTTCTGAAATGGCAAGAAAGAGGTAACCCTTCCTCGTCAGAACACGTTCTATTTAATAAGAAGGTCACATACTGTTGGCTGTCAGAAATACAATCTTGTTACATCCAAACTAAATCTCCAACAGCTCAGAGCAAGGCTGGATGTTAAAATGCCAGTGGAGGGGGGCAGAGGGCTTCCCTGGCTCTGTGCTTCCCTCGTACTGGCAGTGCTGATGCTGTGCCAAGCAGCAGCCTGAGGGGCAATTTAGGGGAAACGTTAGCACTGACACAGCCCTGCGGCTCTGCAGTCTCTGGGAGACTCAGTTTGGATAAAACACTGCAAGAGCTGTAGAACCAGCATATGTGAGCTCATGTGGGGTGTTAGCAGAGGAAGGGCTTCTTGGCTCTCTGAGTAAAACAGTGGCTTCATGGACCCAGCTGCTTCCTGAAGGACACTCCAGGGCCCTGGCCAGTCATTTAAAATACAGTGCAGTAAAACGAGGCAATTGAATGGCAAAAATGGACTTTCACACACCCTTTTAAATTTCTTTGTCACAGTGGGTAAAGAGGTTTGGGGGAAAAGCCCTACACACTTCAAACTACTTTCTGAGTGTGCAGTGCTTTCTACAGAAAGGTTACAAAAACCTTACAAACCTCTGGCAAAGGCTCAAAATGGCCGTGGGAGAGGTTCTGGTTATCAACATCAGAGGCAGGCACAATACTGAAAGATTTATGGTAGAGAGCCTGAGATTATGCTCCTGTGATGCATACAAGAAGAGCTGCTGAAATAGGAGCGTCCCTGGACTGTAAGCAGAACATAGTGTGGCACTGTATTGATTGGACTGAGAAGAAGACCCCACTTTCAAAATTTCTGCAGGGAACTGGAACTAGAGCAAGTATGAGCCCTCACTCAGTAGACTCTCATCTGAAGAGCATGCACACAAGCAACTCGTTAGGCAGTTTGTGTATCTCAGAAGGATGTGTGTGAAAATTTTCTAGATTCATACCTTTTACAGGGAACTCTACCAGAACCATAGCAAAACCTGATGCTTAAGGAATATACCCCACTGAATGTGATGGTTGACCATTATGCCTAAAGAAAAGCCTACAGTAACTGCAGCAGGAGGCTTTCACACCTAGCTTTAACTGTAATCTCATTGTTTATTGGGTTGTACAAAGTAATACAACTTTCCAACTCTAAAATTAAAACAGTAATTTTTTCTTAATAAAAACTGAAGTGGTTTCATTACTTTCTCAGTGATCTGGACAAATAGATGTTCTAACTGGAAAAAAAAATAAAATTATGTATTCTTTTCAATTTATCACACATGGGGTTGGTGTTAGCAAGGGTTTGGCTCTTTTATCTCCTAGGGGTTAGCATTTTGGTAACCTTGGTTCTATCAGTGCCACACTTCAATAATAAGAGGTCCAGCACAGCTCTCCAATGGGCTCACTAATAACTCTGCTCTGCCACAGCCTTGCTGTCAAGGGGAAAGCCCTTAAATGAAAGCTACAAATGGAACTAACGAGGTTTCCTCAGCCACAGCCACTAAATAAGTGCACCAGCCAGGCTGAGGAGAGTGATAGCATGTTGCTAGGAGAAGGGGCCCTGGTTTCTACAGCCACCTCAGCCTTACCCATTCTGGTTTTCACTTCAGCTGTACATGATGCTACAAACAGTGTATCAGAAAATATCCCACTCACATGAGATTTCAGTGCCTTGGAGGGGAACAGCTTGAAACTGGATGCAGCTATTTTACTGTAGTGCAAGTGCTGAACACAATTATACTGGAAAAGTAGTGTATAGAATAATGCTGCAGTCAAAACAAAAATTATATGAAATTGCTTCCACCAAGAAAAAGGGTGAAGAAATCTTAATTGTAGGACAGTGCATGGGAAGTGGCCAGCACTTAATTTGCATTCTAAATTGATAAATAAAAAAAAAAAAAAAACCAGAAGAAAAAGGTCTCTTCTACTATGACTCAAAATAGTGTCTGCAAAACAAATAAAAACTACTATCCAAACCCTCCAAAACTCTTAAAACAAAGTCTGCAGAGTTGAAGTGTTACAGAAGGCTTTAAAGATGGTTCAGACCTTCCCTATCAGTCCCTGTACTCAACATCTGGCAGATCCATGTGCATGTGCCCAGCTGGAACAGGGCAGCTGTGCATAGGAAGAAATGGGCTTGTTTTGGTTTTAGGCCCAAGCCGAAGAATTTTCCCCAAAGACTAGGTCCCTTCTGTGTATCCAGTGTTACTACACCTACCTTCTGCTCAGAGCAAGAAGCTGTAGGGAGGGCAGTCGCTAACCACAGTCTTTAGAGATGATGCGGACTTGATATTTCATCACAATTTTGAGACGCTACATTATTTACACTTTCTGGCAACTCCTTATGACTTTCAGCTCTCTGGCCACTGGTGCAATCACATTAGGGTGCTAAAAATTTTTCTTTGGGAAACAGAACTTGTTATTCTGGTTTTTAATCTGAAAAGTTCTCAAGCAAATTTTTCTGATTTTTCAGATATTTGCTAGAGCAGCCAAGGGGTTAAATATATCACAGCACATTGCTGAAGATTATAGATGAGGTTAAAAAAAAAAACCCAAATAAGAAAATCACCTACAATTTGGCTACAAAAGCAATATTCAAAATTGTGAACAAACAGCAAATCACAGAACATTTTGCTGGTGGGCTACAGCGTGCCTGGCCATTTACACGGTGTGTTTCCAAGTGCATTAATGGCCAATGACTCATATGCCTCTAACAATACTATTCCAGGTAAAGAACTGCTGTGGTTAGTACAGAAGTGCTCTATTGTTAGAATCTGGGGAGAAAGTAGCTCAGATATGCATGGAAAGAAGTATGAGAATATAGGTTTTTTTCCCCAAGATACATTTGAGGTTACTATAGAAGTTTTTTGTTCAAAGAAAAACATCCTCACAGATTTAGCAACAGGAACCTGCTTTAAAATATATCTGTGAAGACATGTATTTGTGCAGATTTTATATCTATATATTTTGGGTAACTGTCTCCTCTCAGCAAGTCACACACTCACAGAATATTAGGTTTTTAGTGGGACTTTGTAGAGTAGGATGAAGCAGCAGTAGGAAAGAGCTTGGCAGAAAAAATTCAAAGTGTGTGTTGTTGTTCAGAACTGTGAGTTACATATCCTAGCAAGAGATGGAAAACCTGTCTTCACTAGATTTTTTGTTTCAAGTTTTCTCTTTCCAGGTTACTTCCATGGCACCTTGTGTTTTTAATTTAATGGTGTGTACCACCAGGGTTTCCCTTCCTTCCAAAAATTACTGTTTGAGAAACCTCATGTTGGCTGCAAAATCACTTCAATAACATGCAATTTCTCTACGATCTTTATAAAGGTAAAAAGGGGAATTTATTTTCAAGAGTGTGCCCAGCAACATATACTACAAATGTACTGGATGACAGCATTAGAAGTATCTATTATCCTCAATAAAATGCCTTTATCTGCTACTTAGCTCTACTGGAAATAATAACTGCTGGGGATGTAGAGTGCTTGGCAGGTTTTTGCTTTAGTCCTCTCCCTTTTCCTTTAGGAATTATCTAAGGAAGGAGAAAGCTGAAGAGGTCTATCTGTCAGCAGATGTCCATGGTCCAGGAACAAAGTGGGGATTTGCAGAGCATGATGATCTGCTGTTGAACAGTGATCAGAAGGATAGGCTAGATTTTGCTATTTCATTTCCAGCTGATTAAGATACTTAATAAAAACCCAGGAGTTAGTGCTGCAGTTCTCCTATGAAAACCTTGCAAGGGAAAGGCCATGTGTTTTTTTGGAAGTGCAAAGGATCCTGCTAGGACAACAATGATATTTCTGAATTTCAGCTACAGAGAGATCCTGCTATGATAATCCTGTGCTGAAACACAAAAAGCAGAGATCTGAATATAGATGGCTCACAGCCTAATCTTCAGCATCCCCCCAGTGAATCACCTGTTGGATTGGAGGCTTTCCAGTGCTAAGTATATATGAAAGTGTTTAATCTCTTCTCAAAAGGCCGTAAGAGGCTGTAAACTCCCTTCTCATTTTTTTGTAAGTCAATTTTTTCATCTTACTGTGACTAACCATGTGTGTCCTACCACATGTTCAAACAATAATCTTAACAGAAGTTTGCTCTGGAGTCTTTATCATGGGCTAATGCCTGTTAATTATCTTTAAATGGGCAATTTAATGCTTTCAGCTTCTGTGTAGGACAGGTTCAGGTTCTTCTTGTACAATCTGCAGATTTGTGACATTTATTCCAGGATTGTTTTACAAAAGAAAAAGATTGTTCTTACAAAAGAACCATAGGGAAGGTAAAAAAAGCATATACATCCTTTAGTATAACACCTACCTGATCATGCTACTCTTACAAGTAGGTTGCCACATAACGGGCAAATCGTGATGCCTCAGAGCAGTACTCATTTCTATTTCAGTTCCATGTCAACCTGGATGGACCATGCCCTTTTTAGAGCCTTGATAATGCTCCATGACAAGAGGATTCCCAGTCTGAGCACCAGGCAGGTGACAAGGGCTCCTGAACCCCCTGAGGTAACACTGGGCACTTGTACAGAGAGATGAGTTGTGGGAGAGGAGATGGGGATGAGGGACAAAGCTAACGCAAGACATATTCAGAATTTGGGACATCTACTATTTTTATCAAGACATTCAGAGGAATTATCTGAAAGACTGACTGTCATAATGTTTAGTATCACTAGCCTTAGGCTTCCATTCATTTTAATTCATTTAATTCATCTTCTAGTTCTTGACATCATGACAGCCCCAGTTTTACAGTTTGTGCTGCTTTGGAGCACAGGAGATCCTGAAGGATAAATACAGATTTCAAGAGAGCTTCCTCTGATCTCTACCAGTTGCCAGTATTTGTTGTTTGGACTGTGCCAGGCACTGTACCTAAAAATGGAGGTTCTCAACAGAATGGCTTATATGCCAAGCATATAAGCTTTAAATCACACAGTGTTAGGTCACAGAATCACAGAATATGCTGAGTTGTTGGAAGAGATCCACAGGATCATGGGGTCCAACTCCTGGCCCTGCACAGGACCATCTCCAAACATCACAACCATGTGCCTGAGAGCACTGTCCAAATGCATCTTGAGTTCTGTCAGGCTTGGTGCTGTGACATTTCCCTGGGGAGCCTGTTCCAGTGCCCAACCACCCTCTGGGTGAAAACCCTTTTTATAATATCCTAACAAAACCTCCTGACACAGCTTCAGGCCATTCCCTCAGGTCCTGCCACTGGGGACCACAGAGAAGAGATCACTGTCTGCCTCTCCACTTCCCCTCATGTGGAAGCTGCAGATTGAAGCGAGGTCTCCCCTCAGTCTCTTCCAGGCTGAACAGACCAAGTGACCTCAGCTGCTCCCCATATGGCTTCCCCTCAAGGCCCTTCACCATCTTTGCTGCATTCTAACACTTTAATGTCTTTTTTATATTGTGGTGCTCCAAACTGCCCCCAGCACTTGAGGTGAGGCTGCCCCAGTGCAGGGCAGAGCAGGACAATCCCCTCTCTTGCCCTGCTGGTGATGCTGTGCCTGGTTGCTATGCACTGTTTGCCATACTGAATTTAGTCCTGGTGGCCTCATGCATCATCATCCTCTAAATGGTTTTGTGTCTACTGCCTCCCTCACAAATGCTAATCAACCCTTCTCTTTCAGGGAATACAGGAAGTCCATCATAAAGTGTGCACAACTCTTAAGGCCATGTGGAAACATGACCTCCTAAATGGGCTTCCATCTGTGAAAAACAACATATTTCAGTGAAGGTAATGTTCTTTGAGGCATGGCCCTATGTTTTATTTGTTTCCAAAGAATCATGAATTATTTCTGGCCCTGTATAAATATGACATCAAAGCAATTAATCTGCTGGCCCATAGAATTCACTCCAAGGCATGATAGGAAGGAGCCCTCTCAACTGAGGACGAGAAGATTACAATGATTTTTTAAAAAATATTTATTTTTTAGCTTCAGCTGTACTCTTATAAGTTGAATGAATTTATACTCCCCTAAGGCTCTTGATCCTATAAATCATGAGCTAACAGCAATTTAAGATAAAATAAACAGTCTATCTTCCTCTTGGAGATCAGCCAAAAGAAGAATATTTGCTACAAATCCTGCTCCTTCCCTAGAATTTGAGTCATTTGGATTAAAGCTTTAAGAGGAATAAAATAAACAACCCTCACTACTGATAGCCAGACAAACTACACATTACCTAGTTTCATGAGTGTGCTGATGAAGGAAAAACATGAATCATGGCTGTACAGAAATTCACAGTGGAATATTGTCCATCTTTCTGTGCGGTGGGCTTCATAGGTATGCGTGACAGAGAGGTTATAAATAACCTCAATGAGTTAAGGAAAATTGCCTCGTTTCTAAGGAAGGAGACAGTGAGGGATGCTTTTCCCTGTGAAGAACACACTTTCCCCCAGTTAATCTGAAAGTCTCAAATATTGATCTTTGTCAGTTCTTGCTCTTAGTTTTGTAACTTTCTAATTTGTTCTCTATTTACAGAGGAAAACAAATACTAGTCTGGATCCTCACAAAATGAGGAGTTTAAAGGGAAACTTTTGGATATGACTTTAATTAATCTGCTGAATTTAACTATGTCCCCATTATGCTATCTGGAGAAAGAAGCCTGCCTCTCTGAGGGGAAAAGAACCTAGGGAGTTTTACTGTATAGAATGAGTAATGACTCATAGAACTGGGAAAATAATCTCACATCAATCAAGTATTCATATGAAGGTACATAAATTACTGATATAAGTGCTTTCAAAAAGCATATTTAAGCATCATAATATAATCATTGTATATGGGAATGTAAGACTAAATCAAAGGACAGGCAGTACTAGAGGGAGGGATGCAGAATGAAATTTTTGCATACATAAAGGTGATCAAAGACTGAGACATTCAAATTCAAGTTTCATGTGTTATTCCTGCAAAGATATTGTTTTGAGATGAACAAAAAGCCTGAACATTCAGTCAGAAATCAAAATACTCATTTCAGAATGTGGGACTGCTGCTTGAGATTTTGTCAAAGGCTGAACTTGCTCCAGATCCTCTGTGTGATAAGGCTGAAACCAGTTTCAGGGAAACAGGAAATCCTGAAAATCTGTAGCTTGGAGATGCTTTCAGATGCCTCCTGGTAAAAGCAGTCAAGACAGCACTACAACCAAGGATCCTGACAGTGAAAACAGTATTCCTCAGCTCAACTTTTAGACCAAAGTGACAATATAAAGCCAGACTAGGAAGTCTGAGCTGTACCTTGTCGACGTCGACTGTTGAGTTTCCTAAAGCAGGTGCCCTCCACAAGTCGATTGAGACGTTGCTGCTTGATCAGTTCTAAGATCTCCGGCTGAATCTTCTCCTTTAGTTCCCTTGGGAAGAGAGAAAGCAGGCTCTTGTCAAAGACCATCCCCCTTCCTCTGAAACAGACTCTCACAAGATGTTTCTGCAAGGCGTTTGAAGAGGACATCAGTCACAGACATGCCCAGGCCAGAATCTAGTCTGTCCCAGAGAAAAAACCCTTTTTTCTTTTAACAAAGAATGGGAGTCAGGATATCTTTGTTGTAGACATCTCCCTGCTACAGCATCAGTGTATGACTCAGGCAAGTTGCTTGTTTTTGTATTACTTTACTCATTCTAAAAATAATCTTTGCTATAATGCATCAACAATATTTTCCCACAGCAAAATAGTGCTCTTTCGTCATTGGTGCCCTGTGAAGCTTATTTGAGGGTCTGACCCCTTTTGTTGCACATGCACATTCCTATGCCAGTGCACTTCTCTAGCACTATTATTTAGGGCAACACAAGAAGGCTAGAACATTTTAAAAAGGCAATAAAAAACAGGGAGCAATGCCAGTGAGAAAAACTAATGACCAGCACTATATTTTTGTTCTAAATGTCATATAATTTGATTACTTTGTTATTATCAAAATTTTTGGAAGACTAACTCATGACTAGGGATCCCCCAAGGATCCAACTTCACCTTTGCCCAGTAGTGTAGAGACCCACAATGCACCTAGAAATAATCTTATATATCCTTCAGAAAATCCATTTTCTCCATCTTACTTTGATAAGGGTTCAACATGTCAAGAACTAGGCAGAAAACATATGCACATAATATTTAAAGTTTAATTTCATACACCATCACATGGATTCACAGATGTCTGAATTCATCAGTTATAGCCTCACTTAGATTCATTAAGAATACATAAAAGACAGGTTTAAACATCAACTCGACAGCAAGCCTAGTAAGATTAAAAAAAAAAATAACCGAATGTGTAGAGGATTTATAAAATATGAAGTTTGTCAGAACCATAATTTTGCATTGCTGTGCAAATTGGGTAATACCAAAAATCATTCTGTCTGGCAGTATGTTCCAGCAATCATCATCAAAAGGAAGCTAAGTTGTGTTATCCCACAGAGACAACGAAAAATTTTCTCTTCTTGAAAACTTAGGAAGCCCATTCTCTGCTGATTTCCACACTCATTTGGATCCTATGCCTTTGATCTGCCAGACCCCCACTGAAATCACCGCAAATCCTCTGCTACAATGATCAGGCCTTTAAAATAAAATGCCCTCTTTCCCCTAGGTGTCAGTGAACTGATTGGATGCATAACCCACTGCATATTTACAAGCTGTGAAAATCTAGCTGGTCAAAAACCCAGTGAGGCATTGTAACTATAGAAACAGGCCATCTTTTGGAAATATGTTATTAGTCCTTTAGAAATTGAATTTTCAAGCACTGTTGTTTTCTCATTGGGATCTAAGATATAAATATGTTGAATGGTTAAATACTGTGATTAAAATAATTTTGTGCTTGAATAAAAGTCTTGCCTTTAGTGAGTTGATGAGCCTCCCTATTCCTCAGGTGAAACCTGAGAGCAGTGGCTGAGTAGAACAGTGTTAAAACACAAGTGTGGATTACTCAGCAGTCCAGGCTGCTGACTAAATCTCCAGCTGGACTAATTTCAAGCATTCAAGACCAATATAAACATCAGTTTGATATTTAGGTAGTTTAACTCAGAAGCTGGATGGTTATCATTAAGTAGGTGTTAAAGATATCATAACATTGTATTTGTAAGACATTAGCAAAAAACCCAAATATGAATGGGTCAGCCAGAACATTAACATTTGAATGTTTGCTCATGAAATTCTGTCTTCTGGCCTCTAATGTCCCACCTGCCCTTTACAAACCAGAGGAAGAGATGGATTTTTTAACCAATCCAAAATGAAACAGGTAATCCTCTCTAAAATACTTCAGTGCCTAAGGCAGACTTCACATAGGAGAAGGGGAGGTGAGAAAGAAGGGACCTCTTGCCTCTTAGGTTATGTTCTGGAGGCCCTCTGCACACATACATTTTTGCTCTGACAGTTGTGAAGCTCAGTGTGCTGCTGTTTTCTGTTGGATGATCCTTGAACTTGATCACACAGAAGTTGTGGAGACAACTCATTATTGCATGGAGGAACAGTCTCTGGTAACTCTGGACTTAGTGAAAGCCTGTAAGACCATCAAGCCTTTGCCATGGTGACCTACTGCACTTACTGTCCTCAGCAGCTCATGCCAGCACATGGTTACTCTGACCTGAATGGTTCTCAGCCCTTATTCTGACATCATGACTCCAGATATGTTTTTGCAGGTGATCCTGCCACTGAGTGCTCCACAGTGTCAAGGTTTCTGTTGTGCCATTTTGAGGTGACAGAAATGGGTCAGAACTACCAAACCACACCATACAAACAAAAGATGTGTGTCTTTGAAACTGTATCTCCTTCTAAAAGCCATCTGAAGGCAATAGAGTTCTGTTCCTCACGATCAGTGTCTAAAGACAGGAGTGTTAGGGAAAAAATCTTTGTGCAAGAAATACGTCCTCCTGCCTAATTTCAAAATCCATCAGGAGCAATGAGCTAAAGGAAGATCATAAATGCAAACACATTTTGCGAATATTTATTTATTGTCCCTCAGATGACATTTGCTTAACAATTTTTGCTTTGTCAAGAGAGAGAAAATACTAAGTCTAAGGAGACAGTGACTTTAAAAACTGCCATTAGTTTCCTACCGTGTTTCTGTCCCATAAGAATGCAAAAAGTTAGTGCACTGGTAAGACAGAGGGGTTGAGGAAAACACACATTAATATATATGATTGCTAATTTTGTGATCTCACTGGTCTTAACACTGGAGGCAATACTAACAACAGTTACTTGTTTTTAAAATATCTGAAAATCATTAGAAATTATTTTCAAGTTTTCCACATGACACAAATTCTTTTTCAGCACCAGTTAAAACTGTCTCCAGCTTTTACCATTCCAGCTTATAGTTAAGACTTTCTCAATAGTGATTTTCTTTCCAGGACAGTGCATATTACAGACATTTAAATTATTACAAGACAATGGGAGAGTAATCCCTGAACTGGTTTCATGTGTTTTGTCCTTTTATCTTTCTGACATCTAGCTATGCTCCCTCTCCTGATCATGCATTCAGAGCAGGCAGTAGTGACTCTCTCTAACATTGCAGAGAAGTATGTAAGATAAAAAGCAGAAAAGCATCCAGACACCTTCCTCTCTTTCCCCATATGTTGCTGATTTTCACACAGATGTTACTTAGTAATGGCTCCCTAGTTGAGATTAACTCTCCTTTAACCAGCAAGTCCCCAACTGGATGACAAATTTTATCTAGCATTAATCCACCTCTGTTGCCGTTCAATTTGTCAAGGAGATCTCTGGTCCTCTGTAGGCCCACAGGATTCCTAGACAACCACTTCTACAGCCATTCAAAATGAAACTGGGATACTTTATCATTTCATTAGGGAATGGCAATTTGGATGATCAATAGCTATCCCAAGTCCCTGAATCTATTCTGAAGGAGTTTTTATTTTTCCTAATCAAAAGTAGGTATTGATAAAGCTTTACTTCATATAACACAATGATGCTCATATAATAGAAACAGCTAATCCTTGCAAAACAAGGTTGTTGTAGTTATGGAGATCTAAGGCATCACTTTGCAGTTTACATTCAAACACAACTTCACTGAAGCTTCTCTTATCCAGCAGCTTGAATGCTTAAAGCTACAGTGCTTCTTGCAATGAATAGAAAAAGAAAGACTTCTATCCTGTACAAGGCAGGGAAAACCATTCCCTGATTGCCATATTCTCAAGCAGAATTAAACAAGGTCTGCTGATGTTACAGTCACCATTGTGCACAATCTCTTTTAGCATATCTGCAGGGCTTTAAAATATACAGCACAGCCACGATTGCTCTTTTCACTCACAGTCTCTTTCCCTACAATGAGGCCATGATTCTGTGCTTCTATCAACTGTGCCATCTATGCAATTTGAGAGAGTTCAGTACAGGGAATCAAATCAAAGCGCAAAATGAAAGGACTGTTTCTTTTCACAGTCAAGAACAAGTGATCATGGATGTAATCAAAATGCAAATGCATGGAGTTAAATCTCTGCAAATGCAGTTGTGATTGCTTAAACACCTTATCGATTTACTTAGCCTTTATAGCCTTTAGGCTTAGCCTTTATCCTGAATTTGAAATGATTCTCTGGTAACATTTCAGTTGCTTTTAACTATTTGTGTTGGCTGTTTCACTTGTTCCATGATGGGGAAGGAGATTCTGCATTGTGGCAGCAGCTAGCCAGAGTGACACTGGAAATGAAGAGTTTGCACAGGGCATTGGCAAGCCTTTCAGTGCTTGATGATGGTGAAAGAGAATCTAAATAATTGACCTGTATCATGCTTAAACTGATAAATCATAGGGAAAGAAGGGAAGACAAGCTCTGGGGAAAAGCTTTGCAGTTGCGAGCAGCTCTGAGCTGTTAAATGTTGCAGGGGATTTTCAGAGGCTTTCTGAGCAATGTAAACCATACAAAACTAACTGGAACCATTTGTAGATTTTTAATTGATGCATTGCTATGGGTGACATCAGTTCTAATTGGGCATTAGGTCATATTTTCTAACACACTGGAAACATAAAAGAAGCAGCCCCCCCACCTTTGATTATGGTAAAAATTCAGTTTGTAATTCTATTTCACTTGTGCTACCACGGCTGCCCTGGTGTCCCTGGAGAAATGTGTCCCCAGAATTTGTACTGAAGGTATCTGTATCCTTTAGAAACAAATCAAAATTGATATCCTGTTTCTGAATCCTCGTATGCGCTGGTCCAAATCCATTTCTATACTTTTGCCTTGGAAAATGAGATTTTTACAATATCATGAGCCATTCCACTTGCAACCATCAGGACTTCATGACATTTCAGCTGATGCTTCTGAGTCCTCACCATTTCTCAGCTGATCTCAAAAGGCTCCTGCTATTCTCAGTACAACATTTGCACAGCACAAAGTCTGCATCTGTCCTGTGCCATCAGTTCAGCCACGAGCCCAGACTTGGTCCAGAGCCAAGTGTGGCCTCCATTCTTCATATAACAGAACAAAGAGTATTCTGAGAAATGAGAAGGAGCTATGGAGGCAATATTAGCCTTCCATACTTTGCAGTAAACAACAAGCAAAGGATTGGCTAGCTGCCAGAATGTTGCTGTTTACAAATAAGTAAATGAATGCCTGTCATTAACACCAATTTATAATGCTATATACAAGGACAACTCTTTTGGAAAGTCAGTGTGCATTGGCACCTCTTCTTCTGGGCTTCCTCCTGTATTGCTCAGAGAGGCTCTGAACAGAAGACCAAGTTGTGGTGTTTGATTAGCTGGATATTTTTTTTTTGAAAGCCACTACCAGCACCAAAATCAGGCTCATAATCATGCAGAGCTAGGAAATGTCAAAGCACTGTTTCATATAAATAATCCATGTGAAATCCTGCTGGGATTTGCCAAATCTGTCTTCACTGAACTCAAGGAAAAAGTTATGATTCCCAGCAGAAGAAAACATAATGTACTTTAAGCAGATGCCTCACTACTGCTTTTGAGCACAGCTCCCTGGACAGCTTTTCTCCCTGGGATTCCCCAGAAGAGCTCACAAATGTCATTCTCCCTTGTTAATCCTCCCATGAAAAAATGAGTGAGGAAAGAAGACAATACTTACAGAATTGGACGAGACTGGAAATCTTCTTGGTTCATTCTTTCAGACTGGCGTATTTTCAGTATTTCCGTGTAACTGAGATTCTGAAGTTTGCTCTTGAATTGATCCAGAGAGCTAGGCTTGGTAGTGAGTGCTCTCATTATCTGTTCTTTCACTACCTGCATTACCTGCAGTTAACAAGGAAAGAAAAAGAAGCTGTGTTAACACCTTCTGTATTTTTGTTTCAAGTCTTATTCTGGGTCACACTAAGGTTTCTAGGTATAGAAGATGATTAGTACTATGTGGTCTCTTAGACAACTTTTCAGCAACACAACCAGAAAATTGGCCAACTCCTGACAGGGTGTCACAGCCTACACCAAAAGCTCATCTGCTCTGTGACAAAACTGGGGTTTTTATGAGGGTGGTGGGGAGCTGCTAACTGGCCCATTGCTTCCTTTTATACCTTACACCCAGAGGCAATGGGCACACTCTGGAACACAGGAAACACCCTTCAAACACCGGGAAACACTTTTTCACTGTGAGGGTGACCAAGAACTTGCACAGGCTGCCCAGGGAGGTGATGGATTCACCATCCTTGGAGACACTAAAAAACTGTTTGCACATGGTCCTAGGCAACTGGCTCTGTGTGGCCCTGCTTGAGGGAAGGCTGACCAGATGTCTTCCAGTTGAGTTTCAAACTCAACCACTCTGAGATTCTGCGAGAGCCTTACACTGCAGGCACGTTGTGACCATAGAGAGTGAAGGAAAGGGAACTCACAAAAGATACCACTAGTCAGGGAAAGAGAGAGATCACTTTGCCAAAGATATTACAGGATTGCTTTTGAATAAATGCTGTAAACAGTGCAAACCAAAAAAAGAGAAGGATGACAAGGCAACAGTCACCTATTCTGCATAATAATTATTTTTTTAGGACAAAACTGCTGAGACACAGTTAACTAAAGAGAATTACTTGGATCTAGTTCAGATAAATACATATGAGAGATTACTCTGTCTCTTTCTCCATAATCCATTGCCTTCTTTGGTGATGGTGCAAGTCATATGCTTCGAAATATTTATCTGGTGATGTGCTTAAATTGTCTGAAAGAATAATTTATCGTATTCAGAAAGGTCCATCTCACCCAAATGCCAAAGCTAAAAACCAATAGGAAATGATAACAGCCCCCTGTTATCAAAATGGTAAGACAGAAATCAACAGTTACACAAAAAGAAGGCAAAGCTTTTTCTGTGCTGTTAATTTTCTTTTATTCTTTCATCCTCACCATGCATCTTAAAACAGAAACTCAGCCCCTCAGAGGTTCCCTATTAATTCCAAAACCTTCTCCTTTCATATAAATATTTCATTGTTTCACATGTGTTGCCTCAATCTTCTAACTCATTGCCTGCACTGTTTTCTATTTTTCCTTCCTGAGATGTGCTTTCTTTCTCAGATGTGATCTAAGCACTCATTTTAGCTGTGCCCAGCAGGTGAAACTATGAAACTAAAGAAATGAAGAATTACTTAGCTGGTGCACCAGTGAGAATTAGCTACTTCCCTATTGAAAGATGAACTCCTGACTGGCACCTGGCTGCTCAGAGGAATTAACACCTCCTCACCCGCATCCACAGTGCACTCACTGGTCCACACCAGTTCAAGTAAGAAGGGTTCTGCCACACCTCAGAAATGACAAACCACCATAAAACCCAAACAACCTGAACGGTGATGGATCATGCCCAACAAGGTGAGTGGCAAAATCCTACTGATTTCACTGGCTCTTGGTTTAACAACTAAAAGGGCTTATGCAATGAAGAACGTGTCCACAAAGGAAACACCTTCAAAGTAATGGCAGGAAAGAGTGAAACAAATTATTCTAGTGTCAAGCTGGATGTTTAAAAGTTCTGTTTTCCTCTTTCTGCTTTCTTGACAATGACTATCTACTGCTTCTAATTAATTTTAAATATAAATATAATACTGCAATCACTTATGAATGCATGTAATTTCAGTGTCATGAGTTTGTTTAAATATCTAACAGACTTGATTTTCTGTTGCTTACATATAGATTTAGTTTCCTAAAATCAGGGACTCACAATAGGGAAGCCATCTCTTATGTGCACCTTTTCTCATAAAACAAATGGAAAAACAAATTAATAAATACTGTATTTTAGGGAATTGCATGCAAGAGGATCTTTCCAGTCTGATCTCTAAACCATCCACATGAAGCAGTGCTCATTGTTGGCAAAACTCTGCAAAGGAGGTTCAAATTCGGTAGATTTGGAGCTCTGTCACTTATGCTTAATTGCAACACCCTTCTCTGTAATTCATTTTTATGGTTAACATGCAAACAATGAGAATTCCTCTTTGCTGCTGTGTGGAAGGTCATTCACAGGGTATCATGAAAGAGCCCCTTGGTTTGGAGGCTGCCCTTGCTCCCAAGAGAGAAGGCAGGAAGCAAATGCCCCAGAGCCAGCAGGTCAGGGGATGATCACTTACCTTGTAATGTTTATAGCCAACACTATTTAACTAGCTGGCCAAAGTGTCAAAGCTGCTGATTGTACTGAGTCTCCTGAGCATTTGGGAATCACTGCCAAGGACTTCTAATCTGTTCAATTTCCAATGCTCAGTTGCCAGCCTTTGATTACTGCTCTCTGAGAGACAGCATCAACCTTTCCTCCTCATGTATCTGACCTTACAATGAAATTAAGGTATTCTCCACTCAATGTGATTGTACATAGACACTGTAGACAGTTGTTTTAATTACATTATGCTTTGCTACTCTTACTGAGAAATGAGTGTTTCNATGCATATTATATATATATATATATATATATATATATATATATATATATAAAAATTATTTTTTTTAATAGAAAGATGATGTGTACCAGCCCCCAAAAATAATCAAAACACAACGGTGTTAAGTTTTGATCTTTGTCTGCTCAGTCTCAAGCTTTGTTTATGTCTTTGATTACTTGTTAAAAATCTGTTCTGAGAGCACATTAAGATGGCAGCACCACTGGGTTAAATAAGTTCTGAGTTAAGTAACTGCAGTTCTTTATTTTTCTGTAAGAAATGCAAACAACTAAGAAGGGGCTTCTCTTTGTTCGTGACAGATGCTCATTATTGCAGCATCAATTGTCAGCACTAGTGATGTTAAAATAACAAAAAAAAATTTTAAAAAATAATAGTAGTAATAATAATAATAATAATAATAATAATAATAATAATAATAATAATAATAATAATAATAATAGTTTTAAAAAGTTAACATACCATTTTGGGAAATGTTCTGCAAGTCTCTGTGATTACAGCGATTTCTCTTGCGTAAACGTAGATACAGAGAGTCTGTCCACCCTCTGAAATAAATTGAGAAAATGCAAACTGCTAAAGTCATATGATAATGATGAAAATACAGCTGATATTAAAAATGAAGTATGTTCTTGTCTCTGAAAAACTCAGTACCCCAGTTATATATAAATCTCTATTTCACCATCTCTCTTTTTTTGTGGTCATAAATCTTTTTAATCTTGAACAGGGTGGCCTAAAATAAAGAAAAGATATCTGCTCAGAAACTATAAATTGATGAAGAGTTTCTCTGACATTGTTCCATCCAGGAACAATGCTTTTATCCTGGTCTTGCAGATAAGGTGTTTAAAAACCTTTTTGATATACATCATTTATCAAAACAATTTTGTTGGTTGTTCACAGATTGACTTTTCAATTGGTTGTTATGGAACAGCAAGTAAAAGAGAAGAAATATTGGCAGAGCAATAATTTCCCAACATCATAAATCTTGGACAGATTAATCTGAAAACAGGTTATGACTGTTATAAGTTCTATCTTTTATTTTTGCACTGCTGAGAAAAATGAAAAAAACCCCAAAACAAATGAAAAGGATGAAAGCCCAAAGGGTGATGAGAAGACCAAGCTCCCAGCCATGAGTACATGGTCATTTCTATCTGGGCTGCAATTGTTTGTTTGGTTTTGTTTTTCTTTCAGGAGTGGAAGAGATTAAAAACTGAACACTGGACCAAGACTTATCACTGACAACTTCAGGGGCCGTTCTAAGCTCAGATCACTTGTGAGCTTCAGATTCTCTGGAGCCCAGACAAGTGCTGTGTACTGGGAGGCTGGGCATTCTGACAGACTTTTAAATGTCAGTTTTGCTATGGCTCTGATGGAGAAGGCTGCATAGATTTCTCCTGTTGGCTTGCCAAGTAGTAAACTGCCTTAAAGCAGATACTGTGTGAATGTAGCTGAGGCTGAGAGCCTGGATTTTGCACAGGGAGCAAAAAAGAAACAAGAAGTCCGAGTATATGGCGCAACAGATATTTTTCCTAGAAAAAAAAGTTATTCTGCCAGCTTTTAAATTCTGCTGGTTAGAAAGCTTCTTCAGGCTTGACCCATTCTTGGTTTGGCAATCAGATGTATTCCTATCCTAAATATAAAAAAAAAATAAACCTGAAACTCAGACCAGGCACTGGTTGATGTTGTATCCTACAGCTCCTTCAGGATTCAAAGGCCTCTTAATGCTGGCCAGAGAAAGGATTAATAAAAAGATTTATTTTTTTTTCTTTAACTTCACAGTTAAAACTGCAGGCATTTCAAGGTGTTTTGTGTTTGGACTTTTTTTTTCCCTTCCCTTCTGGCAGAGACTTACTTTTTTTCCTCTATCCCTGCAATCTTACCCATCCACATGAGCCAAACTAACACAGCAAATTGGGTCACAGATTCTTTCAAATTCTCCTTTTGCCATTTCCCTCTAAATGTGGTTAAAAAAAAAAAAAAAAAAAAAAAGATGTGGGAGGGGGAGAAGAAAGATTCCCCCCCAGTAGGGAGCCCTATGAAATAATCATGGGGATACCCTATATTTCACTGTTTCAGCAGCAACTTGAGGAAGAGAGGAAGGTTAAAAAAAAACCCAAAACCAAAAGAAAAGAGAAAAGCTGATTTTTGTTACTTTCAGCAGTGCTCTCCTTCCCCTGAATTTTGTAAAAAACTAGTTTATCTTTTATTTCTTTGAGGTTTTTCTCCTCCTAAATGGCAGTTTGACCAGTTCTAAAACCTACCCTGAATTTCGGGATGACTTGCTTATATATTTAAAATATATTTTAAAAACCTAGATCCAGGGTTGATCTTTGTTTTAGAAAGAGCAGATGCAGAGCTGAATAGTATTTTTCTCTTTCCTTTCAAGCACTGCTTTGGTTTTTTTTCCTTGCTGTGCTCTGAGAGACCTGGAGACTTGCTAGGAGTTGGCCACCCTGTCTGTTTGCTTACCCAATGGTGGAATTCAGAAATCCAGTGATCTCTGAGAACTGGGGCCAGTCAAGCTCATCACTGAAAGCCATGGGGAGATTAGCAAATGATTTCTGAAAGAGAAATTTTTAAATCAAACCAGTTTCACCCTCACAGACACAAAATCCTCTTAGCAAATTTGGACACCTCTTAGCAGGAGCGTTAGCCAGACAGCAGCAATTGTAACTACTGCTAGTAGTGCTAATTATGTATGCATATACTTTAAAAGATGGCTTTTATAAGACAGGAATATGAAGAGACAGAGGAAGAAAAAGCAGAGGAGATATCTGAATTGCAGGTCTTAGCACCCTTTTTTCCTGAAAGAGTCCAAAACTCCTCCTGGAAGAGTCTAAAACTCCTCCTTACGTGAGCAGGTACTGCAGGTGCAGACCCCCAAGGCAGCAGCGGATTTCTCCAGCTTCTGTCCTGCCCAAAGGTGTGTCAGCCTTGGGCACGGGAAGAGATGATAGTGTGATGTCCCCAGGGAATATGGCAAAGGCATAATGTCAAATTCTCTCAAAGCTCCCCTGCCCTCTGCAGCAGGATGAGCTGAGAACATCCGGTCCCCTGAGAAACTCTGCCTGGTCCTCACGAAATTTTGGGGATTTTCGGCACTAAAGCAACAAAGTCAGAAAGGCCTCTGAACATGGCAGGGACAAGGGAGAAGAACACATCATCTGACATCACCTTCCTGTGCAAATACATGCATCCTTTACCCTTCTCTGTTTTGCTGATATTAGTCCCTAACGCTTTTTTACAGCAACTGCCCCTGTGAAAGCCTCTCTACAGATGCAAGTCATGTTGCACATTTGAAAAACAGTGCCCTGTTCATTTCTATTTTGTTTTCTGAATGTCTCAAAAAACATGAAAGGTTAGGAAAATAGCCTTGATAAATTGTGCCGCCTCAGAAGGACAGAATGTGGAGTAAATTTCCAGCTTCTCCTAGTCTGGGGTATGCTTGCAAAGACAAATGTATAAATCCAGTGTGCTCATAAAGAGGAAAAACTGCTGATGAAAAAGGTAATAACCAAAAGAAGGTCAAAACATAAAATCAGAGAACCTACAGACTGGTTTAATCCATATAATTTATTAGCTTCATTTTCTCTTCAAGCAATTCTGGGGTTTCCTTAAGACCTCCCTGCTATAAACAACAAGCAGGTGGGTAATTCTTTATCCAGGAGGGTCAGAGTAACTGTGAGTAGAGCTGGAACAGAGCTAAATTTTTGTGCTCCCCACCAAGTTCTAATTCCCAGAAAATTATTATTTAGGTGAATGGGAGCTATACTTGAGGATATGGGTTGACTATAAGGGTTTTGACTGTAAGAGGATGGAGGGAGATGCAGGGAAAAGGGATAAAAGGCAAGTAAAGGGGGGGTTGTAGGGGACAGGAAATCCTGAAGCCATGCTCTGAGCAGTCTAATGCACAGCAGATGCCAGTTTAAAGCATGCAACAGCACATTTGACCCACTTACACTACATTAGTTACCAAGGTGAAAAGGGGCCTGTCTTAATTATCTTTAGTCGTTCTCTCTCTCTCTTTCTCACACACATACATATATGTGTCCTTGTGTGTATGTGTACATACATATAAAAAAACAATATTCATTTTTTAGGGCTGCAGGGAAGCATCAAATTTGCCTTCTTCAAATCTGTTAGTTTTGTGTGCAAGCAGGCACTTAATCCAAGGGCACAGCTATGAGCAGAAGTGGAGGGATACAGCATAGCTTGGCCATTTGCAGTATTTTCCTCCTCTCAGGTTTGCATTAGAGGTGAAAGAAACAGTCACCTAGCATAGGAAAAAACCCTGCAGATATGATCTCTTATAAGTGACACTTATATTAAAGTATAAAAGAGAAAAGAATGATTTAATACTTTTTAAACAAATAATTTTATGAACAATTCTCTCATTATTTCCCTTTGACACTCCAAAACAATATCTTCATTGGACAAGTACCAGTAATTTTTAACTGTTTGAGTTTTTTTCCCCCTAAAACTTGGCTTAAATATTAATTTTCCAGAACCTAATTGAGCTGCAAATTGATTTGAAGAGGAACATTTGAGCCCAAAATTATAGTTGAATTTGAAAACTGTATATACATTTAGCATTGACACTGTTCCAGCAAAGCACTTAAGGGCCAGACTTTTGAAGATATTTCAGGTCCAAAGGGTGAAGATGAGTAGTTAATGGAAAATTCAGAAGAGTGCTGAACCTTAAACTCTGCATTGATGTAGCTTGGAAAGTACAGCCTAGCAGACTGTGTTGCTTAGTCTCAGATGCAAATGTGTCCCACTCTAGAGGTGCAACTGTGTTGACTTTTAGCATAAAACTCTCTTGAGCACAGCCTTGTTTAAATACCATTCCCTAGACTATTCTGGCTGAGAAACCTACTTCAGCCCACGTGCCAGATTTTAGCAGAGAATCAGTAGAAAATTATTCCAGCCTAGCTTCAAATGCCATATTTTAGCCTCAAATGCTTTAGAGGGGTCTCATTTCAGTGAACATCCTCCTCTCCTAGATGGAGCTACCTTCTCCTACCTTGAAGCACGGGGCAGCCAAAGCCATGGCTGGTGCTGAACACACACATGTCAAGCTGTGCTTAAGGTTCAGGGTTGCTGTGGCAGGAGATTTGCAAAATCAGAATACAAAAGGGCACTGGAAACCTAACATTCATACAAGCCTTTAGAAATGTCAATCCTGGAAAATCTGAAATCATTGAGGTGTACCTTAATTTGAAGGAAAAATGGGTGTTTCCTTTTAAAATTATTTTAATGCTGTTCAGATCCTGGTGAGAGTACTAAATACCACAGACAACTTTATTATTCTGAGTATACAAATAAGCAAACCTTAAGCTCTTGAGAAAAACACAACCTTATCTTTTCTAAAAGAATTGCATTTCTGATCTGTAAAGCTGCAAGGGACAAAGGTTTAAAATTGAAAAAAGTATTACCTTATTTCCCACAAAATGCAATATCTTACTCATGACAATACTAGATTAGAGAAATGTGCCCGCATGTCACTGGATCTAGAGGAATGCTAGCTAATGTTTTTAAAAAGAATTTCACACATCAAACTCGTGTTTTTTCCTAGTGGTGCAAAAAAGAAGTGAGTGGGATAAGTGTTCAGGACATCCTGAATCCACATTTAAGGAAACGATGAATTCTGCTAATAGGAAATAAATAATATGAAACAGTTACTTCAGTGATACCTGAGAACCCCTTGAGTTTGTGGGCAACTATGTATCTGCTGCACTATGGATAAATGTAAGATTTATTTTTCTCTTTATTCAGCAACAAAATAGAGATCCAACAGTTTTAAATTGCATCTTTCTAGAAAGGGTATTATTTCCATCACATTTATAAATATAGCGTTTTTACCTCAAAATAAAAATGTCTCTAAAATAAGATATGGAAGTTGCTTCTATTCCAGACATACAACAGAAAAATGCTGTAATTAGTAGCTATTTGGAATTCAATTGTAAGCAGATGGACAGAGCAGCAGGAGCACAATATCCATCGCTAGACATACCAGTGTTTTCAATATAAGCTTTCTGCAAAAAACCCTCTACCTCAAAAAACCCTCAATACTTCTTCTGCTTTGCTAAACCTTATAAAGTGCATGTCTACTGCATTACACTTCATTTTTAGCATCCAAATTTTCAGGTTAAAGGATTGAACATTCAGCTCAATTCTTGCTGAAACCCTTAAAAGAAAAGTCTGGCAAACCCAAGAGCTATTGATAACCAGAAAGCCAAAATAAAGTTGACTCAACCCCTTCTTAGAGATGTACAATTCTCTTTGTGTAAGGTACCTGTGACTGCCCCTTTATAGGAAAGTGTGGTGGTTTTTTTGTTGCTTGGTTTGTTTGTTTGATTGTTTGTTTCAACTGTAGAAATAGCATGCTTGAGCTGCAGTTTTCAAAGGTGTTTCTTATCTTTCTTACCCATTACTCATAATGGGTATTTTCCACACCAAGAAATGTCTCCATGGGCTCTTTGTGGGAAGAACTTACTCTGAGAGGGATGCTAACTGTATGTGTGACTGGCTCGTAAGTAAGGGTTCTGGAAATAGCACTGGAAAACAAGAGTGCCCTCTCTGATATTTAGCATGCCAGAGGACTTGATATGGGAAAAGCAAATGATGCAACTTGATGCATCCCATGCAACATGAGATGCATAACAGAGCATCTTATAAATAAGCATGTCCCCCTGCACCAGATTACAATGGGGGTTATGACCCTTACAGGGCAAAGCTAAGAGGGCAGTAAGTTCCTAATTAGACCAAGAAACCCAAAATCCAGTGTATAGCATCTTCCCAACAATGCTCTTCAAGTCAATGGCATGGACATACGAATTCCAAAGCTGTTCATCCTAAATACCCATCTTGTCACCCCCATGTTGAATATCCAGCTACCCAAACAACATCCTGAGTGAATTTCTCATTCACATTCTCTTTCTTTCCTTACTCATCATAGCCTCTCCTCTGCAAGGCAGACTATGTGCAGCAAAATCAAAAAACAACCATTTCATTAAGAGGCAGAGCCTCTTAATGAAATACTCAGCATCTCTCCCAAAAAATTATTTCTGCACCTAATTAGCTTTAAAACTGGAATTAACAGCTGCCACTAATGTAGTGCTGATCAGCAGATGGGCCCACAGAATCGTTACCAAGTGCAAATTTTACTTTATACTTGTATGTGTAAATTTTACTTTACACTTGTATGTGTAAACCTGTAAAAGGATAAACATGAATAAGAAATACGTGAAACATAGAAAGCAAATGAAATAAATAAGTAAAAATATAGAAAAATATTAAAGTAATAAAATAATACACTGAATAAATCTGAATTAACAGGCACACAGCTTTTTCCTGTACATATGATCTGGACAGGGCAAGGGCAAGGAAGTGCTATTTGAAATTCCATGTAGAGGTTTGAGATTCCATTGAAATGGAAATTAAAGCTTTGAACTTACTCTAGTATTGACTGTGGATAAAATAATTTGAGAAACTAATATTTTAATGTGTCTTATAAAAGACATTTTGGCAGAATCAAAGACAAAGTGCCTTGAGTTAGACAACACAAGGGAACAGCAGGTACACAAAGCTGATGCCATAACCTCTCCTTTCCAAGGCCTAACTTCAAATTCTTGCTGTGGTCCCAGATTAAAGATGTTTCCTGTAAGATTAGGACACAGACTTTCTGCATTCTCTCTGGTCAAAAAACCATCCCTGGATGTGCTTCAAAATTCTCCTTGAGGGAAGCCTTGCACTGAGAAATCACTGAAGCCAGTTAATTTGTTAATTAAGCCTAGAGATGAAGGATATTTGCCAGTGGCATTTAATACAACACAAGAGACAACAGTATTGCACCTTCAGAACCCCAAGGCTGTTAAATTGCTGCTGTTGACATTCTCCACAGAGAAAGCAAGACTCAGAGGACAAGAAAAAGGAAGAGGCAGTGGTAAAGTCTGAATTAGTTCATAAATGGTATTTCTAGCACTTTTGTGCTCAGGTGACGACTTTTGCGCTCATGGTGAGCTCCAAATTAAATAACTTTTCACTTTTGCTAGATTTTAATCACAGATAATAGTTTTTATACAACTGAGATCTCTGTATGTCTGCATTAATATTTAGCAGAGGTAGTTTTGTCAGGTTGGTAGGAAAGCTTGGAAATTGTTCTAGAAAAACCTGGCTGTTTCCTATCCCAGACCTCACAAATATTTTTTAGGCCTAACATAGAGTTAGTTACCTACCCATGCAAGCTGCTCTACACTGCTCTGCTGTCACTCATCACAGTAACAAAGAGCCTCCAAAACTCACTTTTGTAATCTGCATTCCAGCTCCCAACCTTGAAGCTTGTGCCTTGGCATGCTATTAGCAAACCTTGACCCATTCAGTTGATGGCTCAGCAAGCTTCAAGCAAAAGAAATTCTTTCTAAATCTTCATTACAGTGATAATAAAATGCTGACATAGTCTAAAACTGGCCTTGCCTACATGGCTTTACTACCAGTGTTACTGTCAGAACCATCTTCACCATCAGTATTATGATCATCTTTATTAGATAATCTCAATTATCGTTAGTGCTAATTTATTATGTTCCTCATCAGCTCTGTCATCAGTGTCATTCATCTAATTGTTGCTCATAAGCATTTAACAAAGAAAAACAATGGCTAATCTGCAACATTTAAATCAGCTCCGGGAGCAAAAGTGGAAAAAACCCCATGAAGGTTCCAGACCTCCCACAGCACCGCAACCACTAACAGTCTGGAAAAAGAATTGCTCTCCAGAAAATTCTGCAACCTTATTCTACAGATACCAGTGGATGAGTAGAAGGTTTTCATCAGGAAAGGTGGGCAGTGATGATCTATCTGCTCACTCCTGTGCAACAGACCCTTGTGCAGAGAAGGACAAGGTACAGTCCTCCCTGGCTAGGGACTGACAGCACTCCAGGACAGGAGACAACAGTGAAGGTCAGGAACATATAATTTATGTGCATTTATCTCCATCCCATAATTGCAGTTTTCTGGAATGATCTTTTCCTCTCAATTATTTCATTATATGCCAGTGAACTGCAACAGTCTCAGTACAGTTCACAACCAGGTGCATTTTGCTGCTTTTTGAAAATAGCAAATGCCACCCAAGGATAGACATCAGTGTGGCAGTGATATTTTATGGTCACAGGAACTTTTCCCTTAAGGACAAATCTATTATAAATACTTGGATGATCCACAAACACCTGCGAATACATTTTTTCAACAATGCTCAAAAACAGGACACTGGAGTTGTGAACCTATTTCACATATGCCACAGGATGAGGCAAAACAATCCAGGGCACGTCATTTCAAAGCCAGATTCCTAAAGCAGAAATTCCCCAGCTGTCAGCGGGGTCACTTCTGCAAGCGCTCTCCCAGCAAGGAGCCATCCCAACCAGCCTGCTAATGGAAGGTCTGATCCCACAGACAGCACGGCTCTCCTTGAGCCGCAGGCACGTGCGTGGAAAGCCAGATGTCCTGGTTTGTGTCTCTGGCACGGCACCAGGACACTGCAGCCAAACTCTTCCCTGACCCAATTGCACAGATGTCGGAGGAGCGGCGGTAGCACTGGGCTGTGCTTTTTTATCTTCATAGGAGCAGATGCGGGAGGGGACTGATACACGTGAGACCATAACTACAAATTCCAGTGCAGTGAAGCATTTTGCACTTGTTTCCCCTTGGCAACCTTGTCAGCACAGCAGAGAAAGCAAGCGGCAACGAGTGGTTTTTGGGGAGCTGAATGTGACTGCTCACCGCTGACATCTGCGTGACGGTCATCCACTCGGGAGGGATGTGGAAGTGCGCACCGGCCGAGTCTCCCAAGAGCACGACCCCTTTCGAGTCTGCACCTGATGGATGCATTTTGTTAGTCACATGGGCAGGAAGAGCAAACCGAGACCGAGCTTGGAGAGTGCTCAAAGAGGAACAGCAGTAGCAGCTGATGGAGTCACAGGGTGACTGACTACACCACTCTTCACGTGGCTTCAATGTTCAGACGCTGCAATAGGATTTTCACTCCATCTGCAGCAGAAACCATCTAACAGGCATTTGCCAGCAACCCTAGAGAAACAGCTGGGGACTGGGCATGAAAAACAGGGGGAGGTCTTGCTAATAGGAAAAGAATCCTGGTTGTGTTCAAATTGTGTGTTATTTCAGCAGAGGTTCTGCTGTGCAGACAGTGTTTATTTTTACTATTCATAGATTATGCATTAAAAAGTACTTAAACATTTAGGGAAATCGGATTACTCAGAAAATTGCTCAAAGCTCCTTATAACAGAACTGGGTGGTGGATGTGCTACTCATGAGTATTTCTGCTAGAGCAATCTGTCTGGTTTATAATTAATGTCGCTTAACATTTGTAGATTAGCCTTTCATCTAAAAATGTTGAGGAGTCTTGCCAGGCAATGGTTCATCCCCAGGATACTGATTTCAGTGTAAGGTGAGGTGAGTGGCAGCTGCAGTCACTGCTGCTTTGTGAGGTTTTTACTTGTGCAAGGTGGACACACAGGCACCCACCCACATCACTGTCAGGCAGATCAGCTGATGCCATCACTTCACCCCTTTAAGGCCTTCTCTGGAAAAAAAAAAGTATCTTTTTATGGCAAGAGGTAAAACTGGACAAATGCAAATGTTAAGCTGCTTCCCTAAATCTCAAAGACATTAGTCTGGGTTAGACTTCAGGCACCAGAGAAGATGCAGAGGTGCCATCTCAGCTTGCTGCTGTCCCTGATCTATGTATTCAGCTTCATTTCTGAGCTGACATTTAACAGGAAATTACCAGCAGCCTGTGTTTTTCAAGTTTCATCTTTACCCATCCTCAAGATTAAAAAAAAAATCAATAATTTCGCTTTTTTTTCATGATGTTATAAAGCCTGTTGTCTTTCCCTTGCCTAGTGAATGTGCAAATACTGAAATATTTATAAAATTGAGACACATGGTTTCTTGTATTGACTCTAATGATTTACCTTTGCAGAATTTCTCCTCATAGGGAATTCCATCTTTTGGATCCACACCCTGTTGGAGAAGAGAAAGGGTATGTGCTATCTAGCACCTGAAGAATGGCAGTGCAAAACAAGAGGCTGAGAATTTAGTTGTTTTTGAATGTTTGCCTGCAGGAGGCACTGCCTCATAATAATGATGTTTTCCACTGCATTATTTCAGTAAGTATATGTACATTTAAATTAATCATCTAAGCTATAATTTAAACAACCATAAGCATCAATAAACAAACTTAATATCAGCTAATAAAACCATAATAAATAAGAAAGAAACATTTGTAAACTGAATCAAAGACTAAAGAGGACAAAAGAGAAGCAGCAATCGGGAAGGCACAATATCATTTACTTACCCATATGCCATTGCAGTTAGAGTCACTTTTTGCATCCCAATTATCAGGACTAAAATGGAGACACAGAAGGATAAGCAATATCACCAAAAAAATTGGGAAATCAGGTCCCCAGTGCCACTTTTCACCAAGATTAAAAAGGAATTAGAAATTCATTTCTGCATGGAAGGGTAGGGTTTTTCCCCCCTTTGGATCTAGGAGGGGCAAATTTTTTGTCGCAAAATGCAAACACAAAATGCTGTATTAAATTAAAGTTAATACTGGAAGTTGCTGAATAAAACTTATCCTTTTAGTCAGTGGCACCTCTGGTCTGCCTAACCAATTTTATCTGCAGCTGCTTCAGAGAAAGGAAAGAAATGTGTGTACCACCCCTGCAAATGAGCCCCATCCCCGGTCTTGATCACCCCCTCTTGTCTCCCTCACAGTGAAATCAAGCAACAAGCAGTGATGTGCTGTCTAAGAGTATGGTCAAAACAAAATCTGGAGCTCAAAGCCACAGTTAATAAGAAGAAGCCTTTAAAATAATTAAAATCTTTACCGCCTGCCAGGGTACACGGTTGTGTTTTTGTCGTCGCAGTCTCTGCCTCGCCAGTGATAGCCCCTCAATGTCTAAAGGCCGGGAGAAACACGCAGATAGGACAGCCATTATTACTCATGCACTTTTAATTTAAAATATCTAAAATGAGAATCTAACTCAAGGTGTAGGAATAAAACCTGGTAAACAGGTTGTATTCCAGAGTCCCTTTGCTAAGCTTTAATAAGTGACACCTAGCATGCTTTGGTGCAGAAATAAGACAAGCTGGCAATTTATTTTTCTTGTTTAATATGACTTTACTTCACCTCTTATTAATTCAGTAAACAACCACTCAGCAGCAGAGCAATTTGCTTCTGCAGGGAGCACAGTTTTATGTGTGCATTTCCCCAGGTGGCACACATGAATGATTGCTTTTTCATCCAGGAAAAAAACCCAGCATTTTATGACAAAAAACCCTTCCATTCATTTTATTCCTATACCTATTTTCACATGAATGGATAAGGCTTTGCAGAAAGTAGGAGGAATCCCAGAGACATCCTCATTATCAAGGGATTACTGTACCAAAGGAAAGGCTTTGCTTACTGGGAAAGTACTAAATTTATCTCCATCAAAATCTTCAAAAGGCAGTTTATTTCTTAGAACACTGTAAAAAAACAAAAACAAAACGCATAGTGTTAACATATGGAAAGGAATCTATTAAGAAAGTAAAAATCACAGTGAAGTGTACAGAACAGATAATGACTGGCATGATATTCACTGCTCTGTATTCTGTTGTGGCTCTGTTCTTGTGCTTCAGCAAAGTGAAACTGCCCAAAAGAGCAAATTCTTTATTTCAATATCCGCTGACTGAGCTCGGGAGGTGAGGCTGGTGGATTCCTGTATGGCTTCAATGTCAAACCTGCACTCTCTAAAACAAACCAGGACAACAAATCTGCGGTAAAAGGTTGGGGTTTTGTTTGGTAGGTTTGGTTTTGGGTGTTTGTTTTTTTTTTTTAGCTACAGAAAGAGGAAATTAAAAAACCAAAGAAGGTGAGAGAGAGAGTGCATGAGGGAGGGATCAGAAAAGCTGAGTTGAGCCCCTGCAATCCAACATATGATTTCCAATTTCATTCCCATTTCCACTCTCTGAGCTCACAGGGCTCAAACTCAGCTTATGTGTCCTGACTAACAGTTCAAAAGACACTTGCAAAGATTTTTCGTGTCAATCAACCCATTCCAAACAAACCTCTGATATTTGCAATTTCAATTAAATGAGCAGAAATAGGTGAGTAAAGTTAGTCTTGGCAGTTGAATCAGTCAAATATATAGCTGTTAATCCTGATTTATTCTTAGACCTGCTCGAGTATTCCTCCAAGTCATTGGAGTACATTGACAAATATGCTTTACAACTAATTGCCCAGCTCATGTCCTTGGCTTTTCTTAGAAACTGACTCAAAGCCAGCACTGTCATGAGTTGTTTTTCCTGGATGCCATCCACCTGACTTTCTTAAACACCTTGGGATTGTTCTATGCTTCACAACTGACATTAAATTCACGTTTCTCACAGAGTTATGAAGGTGCTGGTGGCCTTCCTGGACTGAGACATGGGCACCACAACTGGGTGAACAAATGAAATGAAGAAATTTTTTGGGGTCAGAAAATCTCAGGAGAAAGGTAGCTTCCTCTTGGAGATGTCACATCTGTGAGTATGTCACATATTTGAGCTCTGGGATGTGCTAAAAATGAGCAAATGGTTTAAACACTAAAACAACCCCAAGGATCCCTGTGAAGAACATTACTTACCTGAACTCTTGTGCAAGCTCCTTCTGTACTACCTAGATAATGGTTTTATAAAGGAAACCAACATAAGTAAAGTATGGGAAGCTCTGTTAGCTAAGGATGACTTTTGAAAGAAGCAAATTTACCATGTTCTGTTTCTGGTTAAGGACTGAAAATGTATACATACTATTTAATCTTCTCACACAGGTTAGCCAGAAGTGGAAATGCACATACACTTGAGAACCCCATGAAGCTTTTCTGGAGAGGAAGAAAAATAAAAGTAGATGGATGCATTAGTTCACAGAGGTGGTGCAGTTTGGGATATTAAGTGTCAGTAAATTACAGAGCTAAACCATGTATTTTCAGCCTAGAAACATTCAAAAATTCCAGGATGCTACATGCCAGAGGATTTAGACCTGACACAGCAGTCAAGGATTAAGGCTGAGCATTTTACAAACCAACTGTTCTTGCTTTCAAAGACCTTTCCTCAAAAAGGAAAGAAAAAGTTCTGGTCTTCTCTCTATCTTCTCCCATGAAAGCAATTATTTTTTATTATTCTTTGTAAAAACCACTGTTCTCATGTTTGGTAAAGATGATGGCACCTGACACAGTGCAAAACTAGTGAAAGCCACACTCTTGGTGCCATGAGTCTGGTTTCTACATCCCAAAGGCCAGGGATGACTCCAAGAAGAGGAGAAACGAGAGGATCTGGGGTGTGCATGGAATACTTCTTGATTTTTTTAAATGAGATTTTTACCTGGAAATCTAGATTTTATCTTGGCCAAACCTGTAACATGTAAAAGACAGCTGCAGCTAGAAAAACTCCTTCAACATTAGTAGCCCATAACCTTGGGCCAATCCAGTTGATATTCCAGGTAGCCAGGAAGCTTCAGAAGCTGAAAGAGACCTTTCTGATGAATTGTGCTGCATGGGCAATTAATCCCACAAACATGCTGCTCGTGTGGCTTCACTGTAAGTTCAGTTGGTCTTGAAACACTGTGTGCTCAAGTGGTCTCTAAATGCAGAGGGCTAATTGGTGCACAGCCTAATTCTCTGTATTCACTGAGGCTACATTTACCATGTAAATATGGAGCAGATGGGCATTCTCATAACATTATGCAAAGAAGGGTAATAATTTATACAGACATGGCACTTGAAATCTCTGTCCTTGGACCTCATGTTACATACTTCATATACACAGAAAAAAAAGAGTTAAGGTAGCCCTCAACCTAGTGATATTACAACCCATGCCCAGTGTGAAACAGGAGCTCAGATACAGCTCAGGAGAGGCCAATGGGAGGATGTTACATACCATGTGGGTCTATAACCCCAAAAAGGACTATAAGGGAGACAAGAAACCTGAGAAAAAAAGCCACCAATTAACTCACACTCAAATGAAAAAAGTTTTAGTCACACTAGCTTGGAAGGGGAGGAGGTACTGGTGGAGTGAAAGGAGAAACCAGAACACAACCACAGAAGAATTGTGGAGAAAAAGCCAAAAGCAGCCACGAGGTGGGGCCTTTCCTTAGGCTGAAAGGCCAGCCTGGCCCCACTGCTGCACCTCCAGTTGCCCTCTGCACTTCCCCAGCCCTCTGCACCTCTGTATTCAAGCTATTGGCTGCCTTAGGGCTGTGTCCTGCAGCATGGCTGGGACACAGCCCCCCTTTTTGCTCTGTGTGTATGGTCAGGTGGGAAGAGAGCATGAGAGGTGCACAGACAAGGATGCCAGTTTCCTCAAAGGGATTTGCTAACCCAACACTTCCTGGAAAGAGGAAAATCACTTTCCCCCTCTTTCATGTAGTACTAATCCTGCCAGCAGAAGCATCAGAGACTCTTTAAGCCTTCCATCAGGCTGAGATTTGTAGGGTCTTCATCTGAGCTGTCAGCTTTTCACTTCAGCCTAAGTCACAATATGCAGAGCTTTTGAAGTTAAGGCACCTGGAGCCAAAACTGCACCAGAAAGACAAACTACAGGGCTTGCAAAAGATAAATACATAAATAAACCCTCCTTTTATTCTGCTCACAGGCTGCGCTAAAAGTTTACCCTTTGCTGTAAACAGAATAAAACCTTTCCTGCCTTTTTCTCAGCTAGTCTTTTGAAAATTCTTGCTGACTTGCTCTCCATTGGTTTCAAAGGAAGGTTATTCTGCAGTCCCAAAAACTGCCCGACTTTGGTGGGGGTGGATGCACGATGAAGACCTGGCAATGCTGTGGGTGTTGCTGAGGACCAGCTGCAGCAGCATTCCCAAGCCCAGCAGCCTCTGGCTCCACAGCCTTTTTATTCCCACAGCAGGTGGGACAGTGAGATCTGGAGGTAATGCTTCAGCTCTGCTTGGCATCATGCAGGAGAGTGGCTCATCTGCTCTTTGAGGGTTTCTTGGGCTACTTTCAAAAGGTAAGGAATACAGGTATAAAAAAAAGAGGGAATCTTTGTGGGAACTGTTGGGTCCTTCCCAGCAGAGACAGGCTACAATTGCAGCATGAGTTGTTGACAGAAGACGGACTACTTGCCCCTGTGTAACACGAGTGGGTGGGCAGGAGATCAGCTTATGTCCTCTGCCTGTCAGTTTGCTTTGGGCTCCTTCCATGGCTTCCCATTTGCCCCACTGCCAGGCTGTGACTTGCAGGGACCTCGTAGTCACGACAGGATTGTACAAATGATGCCTGCTCTCATTAAATGACAGAACTCTAATCACCATTCTTTCGTTGCTATTGCTCAAAAATGCCCCTTAGTATCTTCTCCACCCACAAGAAAAGTTAATGCTAGAGGTATTCACAGTGATTGATAACACTAATATCCTATTCATTGCCTGTTAACAGTCCCTAATGACATTTCTGTAATTATTTTAATTGGCTTTACTAAAAAGAATAACAATGAGCCCTAAATGCTTGTTGGTGTTTGTTTTAAGCCAGTGCCTTACAGATGGCTCACTCTTTTTAATGAACAGAGACATTTATTAGAATTTTTTGGAGTTGTGGCCACTTTCACTGCATCTCAACATCTGCTGAATACCTTTTCTTTTTCCCAAATTCAAAATGATCTTAAGAAATTCCAAGTAAATGTGAAATCCTGGGTTCCAGATGGATCTCCCATTCTCATTACAGCAGCCATCATCACATCTCTTTTTTTGTGCACAGTCACACATAGCTGCCATGCCAAGATGGGAGCAGTTAACTTGCAAGAACTTCTTGCAAACAAACATACAATGCAGCAAAAGCAACCAAAAGAGCAGATATGGGAAGAACTAACAGATCTAATTTGGTGTTTTGGTCTAGAATGAGCCAAAGCATGAAAGAGGCCAGATCAGTGTTTTTCTTTCTTCTTTGATGTGGATGCAGGGATGGCCAACCACAGCTGGGGTGTTTCTGGTTCCTCACCCACACAAAGACAGGTAATTTTTTCCGCTGGCAGTGAGAGCTCTCACTAAAGTGTATCTGCCTGTGCAGGTAACAGATCATAATTTGGCAGCCTTGAGACTGGGCAGGTGATTTCCTTAGTATTTCATCACATGCTGCTGCTCTGAGATGGGTACATGGCTTATGCAAGCATGATTTACACTGTGCTTCTTCCTTGAGATTCTCCTTTGTGTTTCTTACTGCATTGTTTTTCTGGATCTGAAAATAACTTCAGTCTGGATGAGTGGGAAACTGCAAGCTGAAGCAATGCCTCTAGAAATGTTATTTTCTATTTTCCAGGTTGAAAATAAGTTTCAGCCAGGGTCATTACAGGAAGCACACTAGGGATAACTGCAGGAGAGGCCTGAGCAAGTATACAATACGTGGTTTAATTTGAGCTGACCTTGCACTGTGCAGGAGGTTCGGAAATACATTGAAACCCAACTGTGACCTTTCTGCTTCCAGTCTGTTTGTCCTTCCTGCTGCCAAATAAGCAGCTAGGATCAGGAGGGGGCCAAGGGCCAATGGAGATTGAGAGAGGTATCAGGGCATTGAGCAGTTTTGAGGATACGGGATAGTAAAGGCAAAATAGGAGAGCCTATTGCACCCAAAGACTGATGCCATGCCACCCTACCCAGAACAGCCTGAAAGCATGTGCCATGCCCAGCCCAAGACGTGGCTGGCCATGTGAGGGACTCAGCCCAATATGCCAAGGGTGTAGCACATGCAAGAAAGCAAAGGAATTGTGTCCTGAGGGGCAGCATCCCCATATGGGTCCCTCTCCAGCCCCATGCCTGCTCCCCATCTCCAGCTCGCGGGGAGAACCCGCTTGACTCAGAGCATCTCGTTACAGGTGTCAATGTGGGGACTTGCTCCAGAGAAAGAAGAATAAAAATTTCCTGTAATTTGAGTGGAAATATCAGGCCATCAGTAGCACAGCACTGAATAAGAAGGAAAAGGAGTAAGAGATCCTGCTGGTTGCTGTTCTGTGGGAGCTGAGGCCCATCTCTCCAGTGCTTTATTTATTTCTCTGGCTAGGCAATTTGGCAATTGCCCACAGGCTAATTAGGCACCTCAATTTTCACTTTTGTGAGTAGCATCGCAGTAAGGATTCAGGAATAAGCAATATCAATAATTTCTTCACAAATAGTTAAAGCATTTCCTGTGCATTTAAGTGCCTGAAGACAACTGGAAGCAAACTCCAGGGCTGAACTGACTCACCTAAGTGAACCTAGCAGAATAAAAGCTGCTACCCTTCTCTGCTACCCTTTAGAGATCCTCTACAAATCTGAAAACTGTTGGTAGCAGAAGGATTTCAAATCCCATTTTTCAAATTTTAGAGGCAAAGGCAGCATTTCACAAATACAGGAAAAATAGCAGAATTTGCATTCAGGCCATTGTTTGCGTTTCATGCAGCCCCAAAGCGCAGTTGCTCTGCCCTGAGACAGTGGGTCAGCTCATGAGGCACCCACTTACAAAGTAGCTGCATTTTCCACATTTTTTTTTTTTTATGCTCTCCCCATACTTTTGTATTTTCTCTTTATTTCTCCCTCTCTTTCTTCCAGTGCCACTTGATAGAGAAGATCCTGTATCAATTAGGAGTGAGTCAGCATTCAATTCAGTGCTAATCAGGAGGATTCACAGTCAGACAAAACAAACAAGGACTCACTCCAGATAAAATTCCAGTACAGACTAAAACACCCTAATGCCATCGATTTCTTACCAGGTCCTTGGAAGTCTTCATAATTCTTTTTGCTTTTCTTATGGCAACACTCAGTCCCACCTAGGAGAGCAAGAACAAAGTGAAAAACAACCAGATCAGCCTCACAGTATCCTACCAACTTTTCTCCCCATTTCCTACCATTTTTTTTTCCTCTTTTAATATCAGTCACAGCACAGAAATGATGTATGAGCCCACAAACTCCTCATCAGTTACTTTTTATTGGACTAACAATCAATTATCCAGTCACCTTCTATGAAACTCCAGTTGCAAGAGTTCATTTATTTTGCTCCAGGGCATCATTTATTTCCCAAGGAAAAGTCCAGATCAGCTGAAGAGCTGAAATTCATATCCTGACTGCACTGTGCGAGCTGCAGAGGACATACTTCTCTAGCGACTCTTCCTGAAGGAAAACTCATCCATTAGAAGGCTAAAGGAGTGTTACTCATCTAATGTCAGTCTGACTCGCTGTGGAATGGCACAGAGGAAACATTTGCTCTTGCATGGATAAGGGCTATAGTCAGCTGAGGTTCATCCCAGCAGGGGAACATGGCATGCAGGAAGGTGCAAAGCAGGGAACAGAGATTGGAAGGAAAATCCCCTGCTTAGGATCCAGGAAGGTTAACTTTTTATTCTGGAAATACCTGCCCTGGAGAGCAAGTTCTTGATGACAGGGGCAAGATAGATTTTCTATTGGGTCCATGCCAACTTGTGCTCAAGAGACATTTTGGGATACCTCCACAATGTAGTTTTACTTATTGAAAGAAAGGTTTACTTATAGAAGGAAAGAGTAGGAGAACCATTCCAAGAAAAAGTCTTGAAGAGGCATCATAAGGCCATGGGTTACCAATAAGTCAGCTACTGGTGATACACAAATAATTCCTGAAATCCCTTTGCACACAAGCTCTTTGAAGGAGCAGAGGAAATTTTGTGCAAGAGACACCATCCATGAGTGTGAGTGCCAGCCAAGGAGCAGCTCTGCTGGCAGTTGTGCCACATGTGGTGCAGCCAGGCTGTGGTCAAATGCACCTGATGGTTGCTTGCCATGGCCAGGAGCTGCCAAACAGTGCCACAGCCCTGCTCTCCAAGCTTTTCTCAAGGCTCTGCTGTTGCAAAAACCTCAACAATTACATCTTTTGCAGCTCTGGGTGCTGCCTGAAGAAATGCTGAGGCATGGGCAATAAGTGGGGGCTGTTTCTGCACCGTGCTGTTAAGCGTTGACCTGGCCTTAAGAAATTTGTCTTGTGGCACAGCACGGAAAGATCACACTGCTTCTCCTGCCACAAGGACTCTTCCCAGTCATGGAGGTGAGGAGATGCCCCAAATACACCCATGCCATCCAAAATATTGAACAACTGTTTAACAGCTCTGATGAACAGCACTTTCTAAGTTCAGCCATATCAGCTCATAAGAAAGGATGTTCTCAGAACTCCAACTTAGGAAAAAAAAACCTAAAGAAGAGACAGTCAGAGGATTTCTGGCAAGGTCAAGGTAACACCAGTGTGCTCTCCCCTGCTGCTCCATTTTCAATTTGGGACAATATTCTTGTATCTCAGTGATGACAATTCCCATATGTTGTACTGCATTTATTTAGGCCACCTTTGAAAACAGCCATATCTGTGAGGAAGTAACTGAGTGGTGGCCTCTGCCCTTCCCCCTCAGCAATCAGTATGAGGAAGGCTGAAAGCACTGCCTGTTTGGTCTCCTTCAGCAGGAATAACTACTTATGTTCTGTAGGCTTTGAGAATTGGCAAAAAAACCCCAACCTTAAAATAAAAAAGGAGATAAAAACCAATTTTTTTTGAAAATGTTTCAAATGGAAAAAAAAAAAAATCCAGACTACAACAAACATGTTATCACCTGGTTTCTGCTCAAAATTGTTAGTGGGAACAAACTGTTCTGTCTGAAAATGACCTGCTATCAGTCCCTCCTGCAGCCCAGCCTAAGGACATTACTGCCAACCTAACATCAACTGGGTCTGAGGGCTCCGAGGTAAAGTCAGCACAAGTTTATATTTATCTGGACAGAGCTACAGGAACTCAGCAAGGGGGAAAATAGGGATGCTTCAGCAAGTGCTATTATTACAGCATTTGGAAAAAAAAAAAGAAAATGTCCCTCATGTGATGGCACCTTACTGAACAGCGGCATGCCAGATTAGAATATTAAAGCAGACTTAATTTGTATTTACAGTAATCGTTGCCAGCATTTTTGTGATGGGGATAAAATTTAGCATGTCATTTTAATTGATTTAGGCAGTGATCAAAGCAAATTAATTAACCATGATATTCAAGGGTCAAAAATTTATGGTGAACAACACAAAGGGATATGGACGAATAAGCATAAGCAGCAAGGAACAGAGACTTCTAAGCCGCTGGGTTTTAATATATGTGTCACATTAATATATGTAGCTAATACATGTTTAATTCATGGTGTCTGTAGTCTTCTAAAAATCAGGGTATGTCACAAATAGATGAGAGAAGTTAGCAATGAGCCAAGACATTGTTTTCTAGTTTCATCCCCCTGGGCAACTGCTGTCCCCAAAACCAATCATGCATCTTATGTTTGCCATAGTTATGTTGTACAATACCTGCTGCTGTCATTTCTGCAATAAAATTACTTGAGAGGCAGATGTGAAAAATGGTTTGAAATTGAGTATAATAGAAGGGAAATTCCCAGAGAAGTAGGATTTATCAATCCTTTTCTGCTGGGCAGGGTAGGAGAGACCTTTCTTGCAGACAGCAGCAGCAACACATGAGAAATGCACGCTTCAGAAAGCTGTGGGAACACTGCACTCAGAAAGCAGAAAACAAGGGAGGAAAAGGCTGGCTTGACCTTGCCTGTAGAAAATGCTGTCTCTGAAGCACTGAAGTTGACACCTTCTCTCACTTCACAAGTTACTTCAGCCAAGACCCCGGGTTGGACTGCAGAAGACTGGCAGCTGAAACACCCACTGGGAAGAAAACACTGCTGGTTTCACAGCTCACCTGCAATCCCTGGCTGACACCAGCATGTCAAGCCTGCCACTGGAGGCCATTCTGCCCATACAGCCTCTCCTGCTGCACCTTGGCTAGCAAGGAGCCTCCTCTCTTTCCCATGGCATGAGAACACCACCAAGGAGGGGGTTCCCTAGGCTTCAGCAGCGGATGGATGAGTCCTGGGGAGCAGCCAGCACCATCCACCCCAAGTGAAGCAGCCTGTCACCCTGTGTGCACAAGAGATCCAACCATGGATGAGGCTGAGGGCGGGGTGTCACTGGGATTTCATTCACTGCCTTATTTCAGTGTTCTCCACAGAGACCACGCGTTCCCAGTAATGATTTCTTTTTTGGCAAACAGATGTATTTCTCATCGCAAACAAATGCATGAACCAACTCTAATTCTCTCTCATTTATCATCCTTGTTAGCCAGCTTTTTCCCAGGAGACCAGATATTTACAAAACACTCCAAGTTTCCCTCCTAACTCATTTTCATCATCATTTAACCAAGAGTACCAAGATAGTAAAATTCTGTAAAGCTTGTCAAATAGCACGGCTAAAAGAGGGATTTGTTCATGAGCAACACTTCCTTGTCCTCACACTTTTGTCTGCCACCATCCCACCCCAAATATCTCCAAGGCTTGTTTTCAAGGGTCCTGCCTGAGACAGCTTCTACTTTGGCATGGCACAGCTGTATGCACCACCTTGCAAACCCCATGACACCCTATTTCCTTTGGATTTATTTGGTGGAATGTTGGGGTGCTATGATTTGGCTTTTTGGGGTTGTTTGGGTTTTCAGTTGGGGTAGTGTTTATTTCATTTTATTTTCTGCCAGTGAAGAGGAGCACAGGAAATGCAGAGAAACAATTAAAGAGGAGGAACTAGCACTCATACTGTGCCTTTTTCTATTACTTGTCTATAGGTAGTTTCTTCAGGGCTCAGCTCTGGCTGCAGCAGAAACTCACATTTCAGTAGATTTTACCTGTTTCCAAAATCAAAGGCTAAAAGGAAGGCATCTTGCTCCATAGGACCTATCCTGCCTCCTAGATGCTTGCTTTACTGCTTGTGGTCTCAAAAGAAGGAATCAGGTCCCAGTCATGAGGTCTACTTTTGACTGGCAGCCTGCTCTTAGTGAAGAATGCAGAAGCACTCCCACCCTGGAGTTTGCTTCTGTCTCATCTCCCAGGAAGAAGCTCACATTTTAACTGAGAAAGATGAATGAGAGATAACAGCAGGAGTATTTTTATTTTACTAACCCCAAAGGGTTTCTTTTTTCCACCCAGAATTGGTTGGCTCCTGCTTTGTCAAACAGCATGCTGACCTCAGTAATATCTGTGAGGGATTTCGCTTTGTAGAAAGCCAGTGAAAGGCCTGATAGAGGGTACACAAAAAAACATGAGTGCTTGTGGCAGTGATGCTTATTCTGGCAAGATAAAATTATAAGATCATAAGTATGTATATTTTGGCTGATGTAAAATGACTTCCACCAAAATCCTATTGATGGAGATTAAGACAAAATATGCAGCTGAGAGGTCTCTGATAATCCAGAGCATGAAAGTGATAGGAAGCAGAAGAGGCACCTTGAAAAGCAGAAAGATGGAGTACAAACTTCCAAGACAGACTGTTTTAGTGATTGCTAGAGCACGACCACAGTGCTGAAGTCAAGCCATTATTCTGTTCCCAGCAAATCAATTTAAGTATTGCCATTTAACCAAACAGGCCAACTGGCTTAAAACAATCTAGAGACAAGCTGAGAATAATCTCCTGCAAACCCATTTGTTCCCAGGGCCAGAAAGGAGAGCTGGTAGGCAGTGTGTAAAACTCTTCACCCTACTTCAGCCCTTTTCACTCACTTGAGGACCACCCCTGTATTACATGACCTTATGCAGAAAGTCCTCCAGCATGTGAGCTGACAAACATTTTTGTGTAAAACATTATTCACTCATCCTAAACCAGCTATCTTGGATGCCTGTACTCTTTTGGCAGCCCATATTAGAATATCTGCTGTTGATATGGCTTAAACCACAAAGCACATTACAGATGTACCTGGAACCACAAAGCATTTTACAGCAGCTTCAGATACTGTCCACTTTGCAACTACTTTTAGAAAGCCTTCACTTCTGATGTGCTCTTTTAATTTGCCTCTTTGCTTAAAGGAGACCCCAGTGTGGCCACCCTCATGCTAAAGGGCAGAGAAGGATCTTTGCTCTGCCCTACAAGCCACTGGTGCAAGAAGGGGCTCACGGGACCCATTACAGGGGACATCTGGTCACACAGTTATGCTGGTGATCCAGGAGCAGCACAGGCCCCTTCCAGTCTTCCCCACCAACATCAGAGGTCTGCTCCTGCAGCTGCTTCCCAGCAGAGCAGCCCTCCTTGCCCAAGCCCCAGCAACAGGGGGCTGCCCTTGCCTGGGTTGGATTCTTGCCCTTGCCCTTCTCCTCCAGCTCCATGCTGAGAACACTGAGCTCCATGTGAACAGAGTAATATTTTTCGTTCATAATTAGAGCATAGTCTTCCAGAATAATCGCAGAGTGCTAATAGCTCCAGGCAGCTTGGCAAAAAAAAATAAAATAATAATTTGGACTAATTTGTCAGAGACCAGGGAAGTGTGTAAAATGATGCATGTATCATTTACACAGATTGTCTCCATTAAGTAGTTTGAAAGGCCTCTGAAGAAGGGGCTCTTCCTTCCTCAAAGCACACAGTCTCACCAAAGCAACAGCGCACAAACAGAAGGAAATAAACTAATGATGGAAAAAGCAGATACATGTTGATTTTTCCACCTTAGAGATAATTAAAACCAGAGCATTACACTGCCTTCCAAGGACAGGCAACGCTATTTCTTTCATTCCCTTTTCCAGTGCAAATATGATACTAATTCTGGGAAAATGGGCATCCAAAAGTCTAAATGAATAAGTGAAGTACCTGAAAATCAATAGAGTTGAACAGAACAGTCATTAGTATTAAAGTCTTGTTCAAACACTCAGCAGGGGACTGCGCCAACATTTGCAGACTCATAAAACTGAAGTGATCAATCAAATTACAAACTAAAGAAGCAAATGTGAGGTAAACTGCATTTTATGCACCTGTGTCTCTGATTGTATATTAATTTTTTTTCACCTATAATTCATCTTTACTCAGTCTGACTAGTCAAGAGTTACTATGAGCAATTTATCAACCACTTGAGCATGAATTCCAACCACTGCTCTTCTCCTCCCATCTCCTCATGCTCTCTTGGGGCACAAGGAGAGTCAAAAAGAAGGGCACAGTCAATGTAAAAAAACCCACTTTGTTGGTAGAGTTCCCTTATTCCTGCTGAGAAACAAATACCTTGACAGAAAGGGTTTAACTACCACTTAGGAGGGAAGAGTATTTGCTTGAGCCACTCACTCAGAGGGACAGTCTCCAGGCCATGCAAAAAAAGAGTCCAAATTTTGTTAAAAAAAAATAAATAAACCAAAGGCCCACCATGTTCAGCTGTTTTTCTTGTGGACAGCGCACTCATTGAAGCAGTTGCTGGAGGTGGAAGGAGACAACACCTCGGTCCTACACCTGCTCTGGGAGATGGGTAAGAGCTCACAAAGATGTGACAGCAACCCCATGATTGGCATCCTTTCCCCTCTGTCTGCTCAGCCTAGAATTTCAACACAGGTGTTCTCATTTCTTTGCAGGAGCCACCTTGATTGAAACAGCCCGTCTCTCCAGGCTCCTTAGCTAACCCACTGTGCAGCCATGATGAGCCCATCTTTCTCTTTAAGTTCATTGCCTGTATCCTCTTTCACTTCAAGAGGTACCTTCTTGCACTTCTGACACTCAGCTCAGGATGGGGGGTTTCTGTGGCACCTGTTTGATGAAGTTTGGGCAATATCCTCCTTGAGTCAGGTCAGTGTGGGCCCTCTCTGCTGCTTGCACTCGTCTTCTTTCACCCCCTGTGTGGTTGCACACCCATAGATCTCCATGTTGAGGTATTGTGGAGCACAGACCCACACCTGCTATAAACCAAATGTTACTGCCATCCTTGGAAGGCAAGTGTTTCTCCAGACCTTAAATACTGGCAGAACTAAATCCATCTTGGAGATGAACTGCAGATCACTGATGCCTGTAGAAAGATTGTCTGATTTCAATGATTGCTGGAATAGACCCTGTGTGAAACATCTCATGCAGCATGTCAGTAGAAGCCTTTCTCCATCCATGTAGGGAAAAATATTTCCAAAAATAGGTGCTGAAGTGAAAGGCTTGCTTTTCAACACCACCAAACAACCCCCATCACTCACAGGTTTTAGTTTGACTGGAGGTACATGATGGATGGGCTGGAAAAAATTACTCACAACCAAAAGAATCCCAAAACAAGCAGCACATGTTTAGACACCTATGCAGATATGTATCTGTGTGAGCATAGCAAAGGTCCAGGACATGCAATCAAGGACGTGCAAATGTTGTAGCAAGTAACCGTGCATCAGAGAAGCGCGGGTAATTAAATATGATTTCAGCCTTTGGCAAAAGGTAATGCACATTAGCTTAAACCCCTTGCACTGCAGACTAATCAAAGTCAAATAGCCCTACGTTTGCAGCAGGTAACTTGTGCCCACGCAGGCTGTCACGGCAGATGATGGTCCACACAGGTAATGTGTGTTACACACCTTTTGTTCAAACAGACATTTTTTAGGAATGTCCGTGCTCTAAATGTTTATTTCCTAGACAACGTGTGTGCAGTGGAAACCTTCAAACTGCCCAATTCCAGCTTAAATGACATTCCACAAGCAGTAGTTTTAAGAAAAGTGGGAAAACAACTCACCTTTGGAGGAGAGTAGAGATGACAAAGCGGTTGTCCTGGATCCTGTTTACACAGCCTCAAGGAATGGCAAACCACATCGGCATTCATTTCCTTGTCTATGCTGAATGAAATGGTGCATAAACAAAGACTATTATGTTTTTCTGGGCTCTTGAAAGTAGAAGCAATTTCCATGGGAAGCTAAATCTTCCCAAAGCCACACAATAATCTCAGCTCACTTCACCGTGGCCCATAACCGCTGCTCAGTACAGTGCTGGCTTCGAACGATTTCCTGCCATGACATCCTACTCTGCATTTAAAATTGGAAGCCAGGATGATGAAAAAGGACTTTGCTCTACATGCAGCACCTGAATCAAATGCATTATAACCATTCTAATTTTTTAATCAATCATAAGCCTGACAAAGATTTAAAGGTTAAAGTTAATGCATATGCAATTTGGCACATATGAATGTTCAATCATTAACTCCACAAAATAACCAGAAATCCTTCAAAGATCCTTAACCTTTAATCACCAAGCATGAGTGCTAGGATTGTTTCTTCCTTTTTGGGACACACCTCTGGGCTAATCAGGAATTAAATTAAAATGTTTGATTATAGCACTTCTTAGTCCTGTAAGCACATTGCAGCTCCTTGGCTAGTTTTAAAAACAAAAATAAAAGCCCTAAGGAAGAAGAAGGTCTAGTAAAAGCTCTGTTAATTAAACTAAGAACTTTCAAAGAGGAATAAAATGACCTACATTTTATTTTTTTAATCACTTAGATTAAATAGTAGGCTTCCCCAAGAGTGCATATCAAGGTCGGGGCTGAGTACATGTAGGGGCTGACAATTAGAAAGCATGATTAAAGGTAGAATGGAAAGCAAGAGCCAAGCAACAACAGTGTGATTTTATAGAACCTGTCTCACACACACGAGTTATTTAAATTCCTCCCTCAGCCAAATGAGCTGAATTTCAAAAGATAATTATATCAGGTGGGCCTGATCTGAGATTTAAATGGAATATCAAAATGGTTACCAGTGGCAGCCTGTGTTTATTCACTCAGGAATAGCTGTGCCAAATGCCAAACCAGAATCACTCTGAAGCATCTTTGCTTTAAAAATAATGTGGTTTTAGGAGTGAAATCCCTCCACTTCAACCTGACAGCACATCTGTACATGTCAAGAACAAATTAAGCAAAAATCTGAGAGGACACAGGAATACTTACAGTTCAGCTATGTGTGGTCCGTAGAGTTCAGCAAGCACATAACAGAAGCCTTGCAGTTTTTCTAGAAAACATAATAATTTATTATTTTTTTAAAGTAACTGAGCATGGTGAAACTGGTTTCATAGCAGTCCAAATATAGCAGCAGTTGGTTCATTAAGGTGAGTGCTGATTTACCTTAGGTGAAGGCATGTGCATCTGTGACCTCAGTGTAGAACCAGAGAATGGGAAAATCTGAATTTCTAATCTTGCATAAAATCCTCCTGGCCTTAGGTAAGTCACATGATAAAGACTAATAAGGATAACTAGCTCTTGTTAATTTTTTCTGCATATGGCATAATGGAAAAGTTAAAAGAAACTGTGCATGACACAGCATCTTCTAAACAACTTAAACAAACATCTCAGTCGGTTTGAAAGAAGAAAACAATCACATAAAGCACAGAAAGTGTTGTTGGGCTTGCTGCTACTCCTAGAACTGCCTGGAAGCTTCTGGGGGCTTGTGGAGTTAAGAGAATATGTTTTGTGTAGAGCAGGAGTTGTGCAGGAGTAATTGTATTCAAAGTAATACCTGACACTTTCCATTTGGCTTCCTTTCACAGTCTACAGCCGTGTGCCTTTTTGGGAAGCTGGCTCAGGTGGTTTCCTTAATATCTGTGAAGCATGTTGTCAATAAGATAGTTCATCAGAGATTTCTTTGAAGTGCTGTTGTAAAATAACAGGTGATCCGTGCACCTGAGCAAAGACCCTGAGGAAGAGTGGGGGCATACAAGCATACAAGAATACAAGCAGGGCACTGATCTGACAGTTCTGTGAAGGAAAACTGTCTGTTTCTTGGCTTGAACAGAATAAAGGTGATTAACCATGCACACATCCTGCAATGGAGGTGTGAAACCTTGCTCCAGCTCAGGTGGTGCTGTGAGATGTCATAAGAGACATTCACACAATGAATGTGAACACAAGGTTCACACAAGTGCCTTGACAACAAACTTGCAGCTCCTCCAACTCCTTAGAGTTGTCATTTTCTCTTGCACCTCCATTACCCAGCCAGATAACTATTTGTACCAGGGGAAGAAAGCACAGAGTATTCTCATCTTTGCCAGAGAAAAGCCATAGAAACACCTGAAACAATCGCTTCCCTCTACCTTTGGGCTGAATATTCCATTTTAACAAGTGTCAGGCTGGACGTGCCCAGGGCCAGGGGGCTGCTGCATGCAAGGTGGGTAGGTTTGCTGTGTGGATGCACAGATCCTTGTGGCAGGGTTTGACTCCACTGGTGGGCATGGGTGTGCTCCTGCTCCCACAGGTGCTCTCCTGCCAGGATTGCAGGCACCCCAGCTGGCAACCTGCACCTGAGAAAGGAGGACTGGCACCAGAAAGGTGTATCAGGGAATGAAGAGATAATTTCCCCAGCACTCTCCGACTCATGGTGTTGCAGGCAGCTCCTGAAACTACAGTAGCTGATTTTTCTCATCCCATGACAGATGTTTTATTTCAATCAAGTTATTAGCTTCATTTCTTTGCCTCCTTTGCAGCATAACTCCTCACTATTGCCTCTTTAGAAGCAATCTGCAAGTAAAAATTGGTCTCCTGACTAGAATTAGATTTTATTCTTGTTCACCTAAAATGAAGGAAGTCGCAGACATCAATAACCCTGTGTTTGGCATCACTGCTGATTAGAACACCCTCTGATGAGGCTTGCCAGTGGGGTATCTGGCTCCCTAAAGTAGCCTGCAGGCAAACATAGCTGGCTTCCCCAACACCTCCCCAGTGCATCACAAGTGATGGTCTCCTTATGAGTTTCCCAAACCAGCTGGCTTCCACAACATTTTTGTCTCTGGAGGAGCCAGCTGGCTGCTGTAACCTCTCCTGGTGTCTGAGAAGAGAGGAGAGTTGGACTGCCTATCAGCTCTGGGGAGCTGATGGAGGTGTTTTGCTGGTCACACTGGTTTCCTATGCATGTAGGAAACTTAATGTTTAATTACCCCGTAGTGTAAAAAAATGATGGGAGGTAAAAGGAATAGTAATAATGTTAAATTATCATTGAGCACATAAAGTCCTCTTAGAAGATTCAGGTACCATTCAGGCTTTGGCTTTCAACAAAACACCAAGACCAAAGCCACAGACAGCGTTTACAGGACTTGCCATTGGAGCCAGGCTGTATTCGTGTGTTTGCAAACCTCCAGCTCTGCTGACACACACAAGGAGAGAATATTGCAGAGAGAAATCTCTGTTAGGAAGATACAGTGTAAGTCAGAAAACAGGGAGAGAAAAAGACAAAAAATGATGAATAACTCTGGGTGTTCAGGGGCAAGAAAAGAGCTTAAACAAAACTAAATGCTGGAAAAATTAGAGAAAATGTGGAATATACTTGCTTCAGCTACAAGAGATCCCCTAAGATCCCTTAGTTCCCCTAAGAACTGTCTGGAAGGTTTTCCTATATAGCTTCATAGTCCTGGAAACACAAATGCTGGCTGAATCCCAGAGGACAAATATTTGCAAAAAAGATGCTATTATCATGTTGCCATTTGCACTTGAGCTCTAAGGTGTTTACACAGCAGTGGTCAACACAGAAGCAGAGCATGACTCAGAGGCAAAGCTGGAGGCAGAGGGTCTCAAAGCACATTTCAGGTATCAGACACCTCTGTGTCATTAAGCAGACAGTCAGTATCCAGGCAAACATACATTCATGCTAACAGCACCTCTTACATTGCAAATACTGCCCCTTCCCCCAGACCTGGCCCTTCTATCTGCTCAGGAACCTTCTTTGCTTGTGACATTACTCTTCTTATTCTCATAGGTTTATTTGCCATGTCGATTGAATCACACATATTGCAAGCATTTCCATACAAATGAGGCTGTGGTTCTGTTTTCTACACAGCCTGTGAGATTGAGTGGGACTGACAGGTACTGAAATTTTCTCTCTTTTTCTCTAAGCATTTTTTATTCTTCAACATCACATAACTTTACAGAAGGCTTGATCCAAACCTGACTTGATTGTAATCAGAATTATAGGAGGCTTTCAAAAAACCCCACTTTCGAGGGGTTTTGGAGTCCTACTCCTTTTTATGCCTTAAGAAAAGCCTCTCTGCCTTTAATTTGTTGCTGTTATTCTTGCCATCGATTGTAGGCATGTGCATAATAATGAAATTGTTTCTCCATGTGAAATGCATGACCTGCTTTAGTATGCTTGCTCCTCATGAGCATCCAAAGCTTTTCTACTGTTTCAAGCAGTAAGAGGAAGCTGTTGGTTCCTGCTGGGCTGCAGTGTTCCCCTCCCAGGAGAGGATAAATCGGGTTACACTGTAGCTCCCATACAACCCATAGGATTTTTCACTCCTTTCAAGTTCAGGGTCAGGTTTTTTTTTTCTACTGGGTATATCCATGCATCTCAGAAGGTAACTGGATTATACAGATTCAACTAAAGGGATAATAGGATTTTATGTGTGTAAAGAATGACAGCTGAAAAGAAATATCTTGACATGTCAGAAGAACAAGGTCCACTGAGTGAATCATGAACACAGAGCTAGCATGTCATAATTTAAAGAAGAAAATTGTATTTTAATAGCAGGATCAGTGCTTCTAATTGCAACTTCATGGTTATGTGCCTGTAATTTAAAACACTGAGGATATGACTTATGGAATAGAAATCAGATAAGCGTCATTCTATCAATGAATCCTAGCAATTAGCTCCCTGCCCCATTCTGCCTTGGGAAATCCTCCCTTGGAAAGAAGGGAATTAATATTCTACACATAGCTTCTGTGAAACTAGGGTCTACAGAGCAAGATGGTTTCTCAGAGATACAATTAATGAAATCATATAAAAATGACATTTTAATGAAGAATCCTAAGCCATCTTTTTACATTAATACTATGAAAAAGATATCATGAATGTGAGATCTAGTTACTTAAATAGTTATATGATTGGTCTGTGAGGCACAATGCTGTTCTGGCATTCAAACTGTTCTTTATTTAGGGGTGTGCATGTGGAGCTCCAACCTCCTTTGGGTAGATAAAATAAGGGGCAGAAAAAGGGGAGTCTTATATATAGTCACATGGAATAGCTGCTGCTTTTGAAATCTGTATCACCAATTACATATCAGTAGCTTTTCTGTGCACACCAAATGCTCACATCTCACACCTGTCAGCCTCATCTCATTTTAAAAATTTTACAATAGCAATTCCCATACCTGCTGAAAACATTTTCATCTTCACTGTTGCTATAAAGACCCGTATCAACAAGCAGGAGGAGTAGTGGGGCATACAGTGAATCTATTCTTAAGCTGCTAACAAAGAGACAAAGAGGAGAAAAAGGAAGGAACTGGTCTGCATGTGTTGGTGTTCACATGTGCATGGAGCTTAATATAGCCCCATTCACTCTAACCTGGGGACAAAATCCCAGCTCTGAATCTAAGTGAAGCCTTGTCACTGACTTTCCTGTAAATAACAACTTGCTATCTCCCAGCTACACGCATCTGAGTTGCTGCACAAGAGGTGGATAAAGTTTTTTCAGAGTTCCCATGCGAGTTTTTAATTAACAGGGAGATACATCAGCGCCGACGCGACATATGGCGCATTATTTGGTACTTACCAGGTATGTAGTCACACAGTCTCTCCACGGCTGCCTTTACTGTGCTGTTGTGCCACTGTGCAAGCTGCTCGATGACAGACACCACAAGCACACATCCTTCCAGAAAACAAAGAACAAAAAGAAGGAATGCCGTTACTGGGGAAATGTTAGGAAGTGCCCTGCACCACAGAAGTGTTTCTGGCATCTTTGGGCATTTCATTTCTAGAGATGCTCCATGGCAGATAGGTGTTCAATCAGTGAATTCCTGTCTTCATTCAAACCCTGTAAACTACTAGAGAGGAGGAAGCTGATTCCAGAGGAGCACACAGAACAGTCTGGCTTTTACAGCACTGTATGATGCTCCTGGAAAAAATGACTCCATTCTTTCAAGGTTGAAAATTGAGGAGTCAAGGGGATAGCCACTGTTACATCTGCCTGCTTGGTCACCTGCTCTCTCATTTTATCTCTCAAGGAAAAAGGCACAGGTCTGTACTTAACAGGACTTTTATACCTCTCCACACAAGCCTCACAGAGAGGTACTAAAACCGGAAACCAAATGTTTGTGACTGCCTGCAGAAGAGAAGTCACACCACAGACCTATGTGCATGACAGAGCACCCATGGCATCACTTCTTCACAGACTTTCCTGTGATGCTCAGTGATGCTCAGCACACACAGGGCTGCTGAGCCCAGCTACACTTTTGTTAAACCAAAATGTCTTCACAGTTCATTCTGCTCTGCTTCTGTGGCTGGAAAGAAACCATTTCCTACAACCTACGAATTTGGTTATTTCTCATCACTAATCTGGGTGTGAACACGGCTAGCAAAGTGTTTCTTGAGATGTGCATCACTTTTCCCTCTGCTGTTTTGGGGATTAAATAGATTCAATGTCATCCCCATAGAACAGTCATTCAAAATCCACATGATTTTGAATAATTTTGAGCATTCATTTCAACTCAATTTTAATTTGTAGGTCAGCACTGTGCTTTCTCTGCAGTGGCTTCACTGTTTTGTGAGGAATACAGCTTTGGCAATGCCAAGTCTGCCCACTGTAGTCAGGCCTGGCAGCCAGAGTGATGCCCTGCCTAGAGGTATCCCAGGCACGTATCCCAGGCAGACAGGAGACAAGGAGCCAGGTGCTAGCTTCCAGCAGCCTGGAATAAAGATTTCTCTTTGAAATCCCTATAACTGAATCCCAGTTCCTCTCCTGTGCAACCAATCTCATCTCTAAGATGTTTCTAGACCTTGCTCTAGCAGGGTCTAGAAATGGAGGTGAGCAGCAGCAATTTGATGTGATGCAGACTCAACTTTTTCCAAACCTCAAGAACACTAATGTTCAGGTTTTCAGACTGGCCCAGCTCTTCAAAGTGAGCTTCTAAATTCCTTCCAAGCACCCCTACCTATGTGCTATTAAATCAAAGTGCTGTTTTTAAACATAAATAACTCTGATGTTTCTATGGCAAGTAAAGGAGAAGGTTTTTACTTACAAAAGGGCAATTGGAACTTGCTGTAAGACCAATATTTTTGACTCTTCTATTACTTCTTCTATCCAGAAGAAATTACAGTGAATTTGTCACCTCTTTTGCAGGGATAAAAGCCCACTTCTCCTTACTTACTAAGTAAAAAGTTCACTCAAAATCCTCTGCAGAATGATTTATAAAGCATGCTAAGAACCATTACCTCCAGTCAGCCTATAAGAATAGAGGAATAAATGGAGATCTATACAACCAAGAAAAGCCCTGAAGCAAGAAGCCCTTCTTTTCTGCTCCTTCCCCAACTCCCCAAATAGCCAGAGGCTAACTAGTCCCAGGAATTAACAGCTAATTAAAAACACAAGAGCTGGGAAAAAAAATAGTTGAATAAAAAAGACCTAAACTAAAAATACAGGGAAGGTCCAAGATGAAGGGTATAGCATGTTCAGCTCTTGGTCTCAAAGAACAGGTCTGGCCTCTCAGATCCAGCTTTAACCTTACTACAGCCTTATCATAAAATAGTTTGGGTTAGAAGGGACTTTTCTAGTCCAAGCTCCCTGCAGTGAGCTGGGTCATCTTCACCTAGATGAGGTTGCTTAGAGCCCTGTTCTAACCTGATCTCAAATGTTTCCAGGGATAGGACAGCCAACACTCCTACAGCTGTGGGGGTGGATGTTAAAGAGAGCAAGAGACTTCAGCTGTTTTAGTGCAAATCATGCCCTGCCTCAGGGGCAGAAAGCAGACCCTGGCTCCTTTGCCAGGGTAGCGTGGTAATAGCCTCGCTGGACTGACTCCAGCCTTTAGCATTGAGATGGCATTGCAGATCCTGAAAACACACCATAACATGTCTAAAAGTCATTACATAAAGGCTATGCTATTAATGCACATGAACAACCTACAGACAACAGGGACTACCCTTCCCCTGGCTTCTATGTCTATTTTATTCATGAGGATGGAGGCTCAGAAAAATTAAATTACCTAAATGATAACTTAACTGCAAAACCACACAATCTTTCTGTGTCTCCCTTCCTACTCTTACCAAGGTCAGATGTTCATCTATCAATCTTGCTGTCTAGAAGTCAGAAAGACAAAAAGGAGTCCAAGCAGACAGACAGGGGGAAGCTAATCCTTTCATATTTCATATCATAAAAGGTGCACAGCTTTTGATGTTTTACCTCTCATTCTTTTACATCATGGGCTTGAGGATTCTATAGTATCATAGAATTGTTTAGGTTGGAGTTGACAGTGTCACCCACTGCAGCAGAGAGAAGTGTTGCTCCTTTTACCTGTGCTGTGTAACCCAGTGCTCCTGCACCTGCAGCCAGGGGCTGCAGAAAAAAGGGATTCTGGACAAACAGCTCAAAACCCAAGAAGCTGGGCTGAGGATAAAAATACCACTGATAGTTCCATTTTCTCTGTTATACAACAGGACAGTTTCCACTGAAGATGTATGTTTCTCTCACATGTTTGTCAAAGTACCACAGAGGGAGTGAGAAAAATAAACAAGCAAAACCAGCTATTTTTGGCTCACCTCTGCAAAAAGAAAACAGAATTCTTAATCACAAACACAATAATGGAGGTAGCCCCAGTCAAGGAGCAGTCTCACAGTAATTAAAAGAAAATTTTTCATGTTGATTAAGTCAGATAGACACCTTTGTGTCTATTGAACCAGACCTAAAGGCAAATCTGCTTCACATGAGGATTAACAGAGCCAACACTGAGTCTGAGCAGTACTTAATGCTGTACCTCAGGCTTCTAGATGCTACATGAATATAAATAACAATAATAACAGCCTGACTACTTGGGAAAAAACCCACAGAGCTGAGCTTCAAAATGTTTGCTCTCATAAACTCATCATCATCATCAGAGAGGATGTTTCTGCTCGTGCTATTACACCTTCCCCACTTTGGGCACCTGCAGACCACGCCTTGGTTATCCAAATGCTCGCCTCTCAAATGCAGCCTTTCCACGTGAAATGCCACGCTCCATGGGATGAGCTGATAGAGAACGTCTTGGCTGGTTTTCTAAAGGATCTGCTGCTCCTTAGGCACCGTAGTTGGAGTCTCTGGAAGTGAATTTGGAGGGTCTCCTGGCCCTCTGGTAGGAAAGATGCTCCCAGGGAACACATTCCACCAGCATGTGTTCTTGGTTGATCTGGTCTCTGCCCTCCCCATCTATCTGGGCTTTGATCAGTTGTCCTTGGTTGCCCTCTCCTTACTCCTTGTGGTCTGCTGCCATGAGCTGTGCCCTGGGGGATGCTTGCTTATGTGTTGGTTCTGCTGACCTCAAAACCTTTTATTTAAGCTGATGTCAGGGGGAGCTGTTTTTGGGCTGGGGATTCTAAACTACTCAGGAATAAAGTTGAAACCTGTGAGGAGGGAGGAGGAATGTCCTAAGGGGACTCATTGCAGCAGAGGCAGCCTAATCTACCTAGGCTCCCTGGTTTTTATCATGGAAACATGCTTCCCCAGTAATTCAGATTTATCCTCTAGGAGAACTTATCTCTGGTGTTGGGCTATGGGTAAAACTTCAAGAGGTCAGTGTCTATAAATGAAAGTTAATTCAGAGTATCCTTGCTCTAACTACAAACCTGCTCTCTTTTTATCATCTTCCTCTGGATTGAGCGGCAGGAACAGAAATGCTGTTAATGGGTCTTAATTCCACTGGCTAAAAATGGAAAACAATTACATATCTAAAAAGGGCAGGGGGAAATCAGATGTCTTTGACTGTAAAAATCTCACTGCTTTAATTGCTTATGACATGTGCAAGAATATAAACTTTTTACTACTCTGGCATCAGTAGAAAAGCATGTCCAGATCTGGCCAGTCATTAGCAGCTATTGCTTGCTTTTAATTTACTAGATATTTAGATGTGATTAATTTCTCATCATGAGCTGGACACATATAAGGCAACGTAATTAGGCTTCATCATTAAATAAAGCTCAATTTTTATTTTTTTTTTACAGTTGCACAAGACTTTCTTTAGAAACAACTTTCAGTAAGTTGATTCTGCTGTCTCACTTCAATAATAGGTTTCAATACCTTGACAGGCTGAAGGATGCTTTTCTCTGAAAGAAATTCATTGGCATTATCATACCTACCAGGCATTAGAAACTAGACTCTGGTATTAATAAATGCCTGTCGCTTTTAGCGATGGCTTGTCCCATCTGCTATTAATTTCTGAAGAGATAAGACAAGACCATAGCCATTTTGCTCAGTGCAGTAAGGTGAAAACTCACACATCAGGAAGTACTTCTTTTCATATATTTGAAGGTAGTGTGTAATAAAAAAATGCCATTTCCAATAAGCTCAGGAAAAAAAAAATCATACCCCAATAATAAAATCAGAACTAGAGGAATTCATTGCTTAGCTGTAAAGCCTCTGGCAGTTTGAGCAGACTATTTAACTTAATCCACTTCTGCCGCACAAGTTTGAAAGGCTCTATAATTAGAATTATACCTAGGGATGTCAAAAAGTATCTGGATAGTGAAAGCTGCCTCTCTAAGTTTCAGATTTGTAGGTATATTTGTCTGAGTAGAACTCTGTTAAATGGGTTTTCTGGCACTTGGCACATCTCCTTTGCCATCCTTTGCTGATGTTTCTGGATGCTGGATTTCTTTCTCACCCCTCCAGCCATAAATTAAATG